ACCTCTCTAAAACTTTAAACAAAAACTGAACATTATAAGGTTCGAGTGTATCTAATGAACTTGACTGAGTATATATTTTGATCAGTGCTAATATGATACTGATCATTTAAAACACTGGACATATCTGTTTATTATACAAAGTAAGCTTCTAATTCCATTGATACTCAAAATTCAGATGTGCAAAACTGACAAATTTGTACTTCAATACAACATGTTTCTCTGTGATTAAGATGTTAACAGGTCACACTTCCCATTTAAGTCTGCTGTATACTATATACAACAACACTGTAGACAACTTGAGGCATGCATGAGTGTGGGTGTACACAGTTCTTCAGCCAGACCAAGCTAAGACATCCAGACAAGTAGGTAAACTTACAGACAGCCCCCCCCACCACCACCACCTGTCTGCCCTCCATGCTCTTATCAGAAAGCTTTTAGCACCAAGCCTTATGTCCAGTGATGTCAGGCTAATGTCTAACATTTCAACAGACTGACAGTAACATTTCCACATACACTGGCAGAACTGCTTTCATCACAGATTTCCCTTTTTTCCAGTAATAGTGCAAAACTTTGACCTCAATAGAAAATGGCCATAGTCCCTCAGTATAGATAATACTATGTATGTCTCAATGCTACACAAAGGCAGCAAACACACATATGTCTCTAGCTCCGAGTCTGAAAAAGAGGCTTCTGAGTGACTAAATGGACAATGGAGGAAAAAAAAAAATCTAAATCATATCCGATGACTGATAGCACTTATGATGAGGACGGGGTTAGAATATCCTGCAGTGAAGTGGTGCGTTCCCATTACTGCATCTCTCCATCTCTGAAAATGGCTTCATTAACAGACCAGTGCCGAGAGCTCCCTCGCCGAGTGTATGAACGTGCTGTACCCCGAGGGTCCGCCGGAATGGCTGAGGTGAAGTCCATTAAGACCCGACAGCTTGTTTTTTGACCACTAAATAAACCAGAGTATTTTTCTGTGTCAGCGGTATAAATAGCTTTTAGCTTAGGAGCTAGGGAGCACAAATTTCTCTGGGGCTGAAAACTCTGCTCCGAGAAGAAAATTAAACCCACAGATTGGGTTGCTAATACTGTATCATCACAGGTGTTGATCTAGACCCGGCAGAACTTGGAAAATGAAAATATGAAGGGCAGTGTCTCACCGTTCTCAAACTCATGTATATAGAAAACAGCTTCATGTCATAACTTGTCTAGAGAGTAGCTCAGCCTGATCTAATGACTTTTTGGTTATTCATCAGTAGTCATTTATGTGCCAATCCTTATTCAGTATAACCTCCACTCTGGGCCTAATCAGAGTACAATGGAGAATAATGTACCAAAGACAGCTGTGGGTTTTCCTACGGCGCCGTTCATTGTAACCTGTTCAGGATCAGAGTCGTCACCTAAATACCTAAAATGATGTAAATGTCCTGTATCTAGACGGTGGCGTGTGTGTGTGTGTGTGTGTGTGTGTGTGTGTGTGTGTGTGTGTGTGTGTGTGTGTGGTAAGTAGAAGAGCTGTAAAAACTAGGCTGTCTTCTGCTGGGGATAAATCCATATCCCACATAACCTGTCCTTCTCTTCTGGCATACTTCCCCGATCCCTCAGGCAACCAGAGCTGGCTACCTCTGAGCCTATGACATCGCTCTTACTTTCCCAGCACTTACTCTCCAATCATGTGTCACCTGATGAAACGCTACACCCTAGCCACCATTATTCGTCTGGATACACGAGCCTCTGGAATGTATCGGATTCCTGCCTCGGGGGATAAGCACCTTGGAAACATGGTCCTACCTCCACTGGCTAGCTTCTCCCGCCCTCCCCACCCTCTCTCTCTCCCTCTCTCTCTTTCCATTCAGCAAATTTCCACTAGAGGCCTGCTTGATTTAAACCGCATCATTGCCCATCTAACATGTGCTCACATTTTTGACGTACATTTCCCGATAGAAGGACGCGTGAGGGACAGTTTAGAGTTTTGGGACTGTTATGTTTTCTGGCTGTCTGCTCCCTCCTTTATGTCAAAGGTAAACATCACAATGAGCGCTATCCTTTGCCCAGTCACTGTAGATGCTGGGTCACAATACCTTCCATGCTTGAGAGTGAGCACCAGAGCTCAACCAGAAATTCAAGTTAGTAAACCATTTTGTCCTATAGTGCAACGGTGTAGTACAACCACTCTCAACCTATCTCCCCTCTCCAGAGAGCAACAGTTATTCTGTACAGTACTCTGGCCTGTAGCATTGAGTATCTCTGAGTCACTGGCCAGCGTAATTCAGTCTTGGGAATTATGACAGTGGAAAATCATTTCCCTGGGCCGGGGATAGGAGGCCATGGCTAATCGTTCAGTAATCTGATCTGCCTGCATACTGTAGCATTCAGCCGGGCCACTAGCCTAGCCAGCCAGTCACACATGTGGACACCCCCGGTGCCTGCCAACTATCTGATGGAGGCTAGTACTATTCAAAAACAACTCTCCAGGTTTTCCCGAGGATTACAGATGCTATCGGATCATTTGCTAATACTCAGTTGTGCTGTGCAGTTTGAAATGTATTTACTCTGCTCCTGCTCTCCAATACCCCTCACGATAGCACAGCGTAAGCCAAAAAATGCCACAGCCACATTCCAGGCAGAAAAAGGCGCCTCAATACAAACTCAACACTTTACAGGCCATGATGGTACAATCTGCCTCTTGCATTCTGGCATATTAACATAAAAACCTGACTTAACAAGGAAACAATCAAGTTTGTCTATCAAACAGCAATATATTTTGGGTATACGTCCAGTTGTAGATTCCAGTATCTAGTAGAGCCAGTGGTGTTGTAGTAGTAGAGTAGAATGAGAAGAACCATAGGGAGCAGTACTGTGTCACAAAGCAGTGCTTATACCCAGCAGAGAAGGTTGGGGGGCTTGAGTTTTGGAAAGATGCCTGGCTTCAGCCCCTCTCTAAAGAGAGGTCTGCCCCCTCACACACACAGAGTGTGGCTACAACGGGCACTGACATGGAAAAATACAAGAGCTGGCATGTTTTTGGGTACTGCAGTTCCCTACAGTTACCTTGTCTTGCATTATATGGGATGGTATAGTTACTGCAGTACAATTAAATTTACGTCCTCCTCTATGCGGAGATAAGCAGTAGTAAAGCCGTCAAAGCCATGATTGACAACAAACAACGTTCACCTTACTATCCCCCATTCAAGCCTAAAATTTAAAATGATGAATTGTCTGTGATCATGTCTCATTCTGATAAATGGCCAAACACTGCTTGGTGACATGATCTGTCATATACGGTCGCACCTACAGTATTTTATTATCTTCTACATGTAGGCATTGTAACCCAGTCGCAGCATTTCACAGGCATATCTAAGTGAAGAGATGCTGATATATGATCAAATGGCTGCGGCAGCAGTGGCAGCCTTCATCAGCTGAAAGCGCTAGATCACAGCATGTTTGGCAGCCGGTGGGAGCAGTCAGATGGAGGGTTAGAACAACCAGACAAACAGTTGGCACGGATAAACAGAACGCAACTTAAGGTTCAGCTCTCCACAAATTTGACAAACAAATGACAGCAACCACACTCCTTTTTTTATCTAATTAAATGGAATAAGCCCTACATTTTTTTTGTGAATGCAAGGAGGAACATGTGATAAACAACACATGGCTTTGGAACAGCAGAAATGGGAAGCGCTGGTGTTATAAATCTCATGATACATAAAAGCAGGACAGCACTTTTCAGTTACAAGAATGTCTTCTGCAGCTGAGGCGAAATGCAGGGAAAGTCCTTATGACTTTGCCAAATAAATTCTGAGTGTGAGTCATTCTTTGGTAATCTCTTACTCACATAGGTGCACGCGTGCATGCGTGTACACCCCAAGGCAATAGATTTCAGGCAGGTCTGGACTGCCCCTATTTTTCTATAGACGAAGTCAAGTGTTTATAACATTTAATAGATGCTATCTAGGTAGAGATTTTACACAAACACAAAGCAGCCTACATACAGAACATACAGAACTTGATTGAAGAAAAGACGTGCATGACTGGTGCTCTGTGCAACAGCCACTAAGCCACACATTAACAACATATCAAAACTACTAAAACTGAATGCATCTTTTTAGACAGGGCATCCAAAACAAATTGGACAATGTATTGCAAAGTCTGCATGATTTTTTCGTTTTGGAGTTTATGGTTCGGGGAAAAATGTTTTGAAATCTTACTGAGGAGGAATATTTGTAATGATCAGCATGCAGAGAATTCCTACAAAATGAATCATCTGTCATAACACAGCAAGTCGTCACTGCTGATAATTAACCCAGGTCCCCCCCCGAAATCATTTGGACTAATTAAGTAATGTTAAGGTAAATTCGTTGCATTCCCGTGGCGATCTTTTGTACACCTCTGTCATGTGCAATGCCGTTAGATTAGGTGGCAGACAGTCGAATCGACCTTTAATTACAATTTGCACAGAAAATCGTTTGGCCTCATCATCACAAGAGACACAGTAGAGTAACATTTGTAGATAAATTGCTACGTTGTTACCGATTTGTCACAGCTAACTTGAGGCGAGCATTTGATAATAGTCTGCACATCACAGCTGCTACAAAGTTACAAAAACAAGTTCGTCGATTGTCGCTGGTACCGGGCTGCATTAGGATCCGGCTGGATAAAGGAATTCCGATATTAAACCACGGAGCAGGGCAACCGGACACAGCTCTATCCTGAGCGCAAACTTCGACATGAGACGCTGCAACAACAATAACGTTAGCCTCCTCTCTACGCTGCCATATGCACTAGCTGAAAGCTGCACCGAGCCTCCACTATATCGCCTGGGCTTTATGTTTCCAGCCAGGGGAGAGTCAGGCCGAAAAACTGGCCTCATTCTCCGTCTGCGCCAGACAACGTTCACTAGCCTGGCCTGGGAGACCGAGCGGCGGGGCTCGCGGTCGTGTACCAAAACGTGCGAAAACACCGCGACGAGACTTGTGTTGTGTCGATGTACTCACCTTGTCTGAGTCTAGGCGGGTTTGGGACAACACAGACCGGTTGGGTTGGACGCGGGATTCAAGCACTCTGGGCGCATGTCGTCGTCGTCGTATCGGTTTGCCGTCGGCCGTGATGTGGAAGCGGCACAGCGGACTCGGCTGGGAGAGATCTGGAAATCTGAGAATGCCCCTCTCTTTCTGCAGCTCTTTGCACCGGCAGTGGCCCATAACTGTCGACAGGAGGCGCCAGCACAGCACATTTTTGTCTCTGATATGCGCATACATGCATACTACACAACTCCTCAAAGAAATCAGTGAGCGATCATATTTCTGCAGGGGCTTATCTGCATCCGTGCTCCTCAGTACTGAGATTATAGTGGCCGTGTTGTGCTGTGTGTTATTATTCTAGTCGGAATTTAATTGTGCCGTGATGTTGGGATTATCCCTGAAAGTTTTCTATGATTCCTGTTTCTTAGTTACAGGAGCTCAGGGGTAGTCGTGATGATTTTGATTAGTCACCACATCATGCAGATTACACAACGTGAGCTCATGTAAAATTAGATTTTTCTCTTACATGTATAACTAGTTTTGCATCAGTGGTTTTATAAATTAAATCAATTTCCTTATTTAATAAATCACTCCAATATTCTTCTAAGAAATAGCCTATTATTATTCATAGTAGCCCCCTTAATCACAGTGGCCTTATAATACTCATGCACTGCTACAATTCCTCTAGAGAAATGTAATTTTCCTCTGACTGGCCTAGACTTTTACTGGATATTTTACTCATCTTTTGAGTGTAATATTTAATGAAATATCTCAAAATGATAATAGTATTTATGGTGCTGATTATTGCTACAAAGATGAACAACAGACACATGGAGTATAGCTATATAATACAGGAAATATATCCTACCTTAATGAAAACTAATGTTTCAGTGTGCCACATAGACGCATACAGCCATTGACACTACTCTACAAATATAATTTATTTGAATGGAGCTCTGAAACATGGAACAGCTGTGAGGTGGTATTACACCTACATGTCCCCTGACCTTGTGACTCATGAGGTTAGTGATTTTGATTACAGAGTGGCTAAATCCAAGACAAAACCATCCTTCAAAACAGCTTTGGCAGTCTCATCCACATCACATGATAGAGGAGACAGGGTCACACGACTCATTAAGACAAAGAAGGCGATGCCCAGAAGGTTTACTTTGGTGTCCCACTACACAGAGAGCAAGACACAGCCTGTGCTTGGCTATGAGAGAAACATAAGAAGGAGGACGAGGAGGAAGCTGGTGGAGACTCCAGTTTAACCTTTTCTCATGGAAATATGATCATAGGAGCAACTGTTGATCAATAATCAGTGTCACCTAGCTGATGAGTACAAAGCAACTGATTATACCTTGAAGTCACTGCATCTGACTCAGACATCAAAAGCAACAGAAGAGGATGGAGATGTTTTTTTCACATGGGAGTAGTCTAAAAGTACAGACTTTCCTTTCTTACCTCCTGAAGGGTAGCTACAATTTGAAAAAGTTGCCAGCTCTTCAGGCCCGTGTTTAATCCCTGTCCTTTGACTCCACAACCTCACCCTGACCTTAAATAAACATTAGAGGCTTAAAGCCCATCCGTAATCCCAAACATCCTTTGGCCCACTAATTGGAGTTTCACACAATAAAGACACCCTGACCTGAATCTGAACAGGTGGATAGATAAACTGCACTACACAATTGGCTTATGCAAGCTCCCACACACCAACAAATCAGTCTGTCTCACACTCTCACACCAGTGGAAAAAGTACACACACTTAAGTAGTTGCACTACCACAGTTTACTCTGTTACATGTAAACGTCCTGCACCAAAATCTTATTTTAAGTCAATCTAGGTTAAAATTAAGCAAATACGAAGAGTAGTCTACATGAAACCAGTGCTTCAGTGCACATAGTGACACATATATTTTTACACCTATGCTGCAGGTACCAGAGTTACATGTGGTATACAGCCAGTACTGCTACTTATTTCCATACATGTGTTTTTCTTAATTAGGTTATTGTGTAAACCCGGTATTATATTGAAATAGGGCGACACCCTTAGGTGAAACGTGGCTCTCTGTCGCGGTGCATTGTGGACTGACACTTGGGCCGGTTGGCTCACACTCTGCAAAATGGCGACGTCCCTGGGATCTAACACGTACAATAGACAGAACTGGGAAGACGCGGTACGTATAATCGACAACACAGTGTTCACGACAGGGAGTATGACTAAAATGCAACAATTTTCTCGTTCATTCCAGAAGTTAACATTATCGTAAAACTGACCCGCTTGCCACTAACATGGCAGGTTTGCTTGATAGCTAATTAGCCTTTCGTTAGCTAGTAGTAGAAGCATGGCTGCTACCTTCTTAGCATGTCGGTGTTAGCTTCAATGTTATCGTTCGTTAATTTGTGTAAAAAAAAAAAAAGGTTTAATCTGGGACCAACAACGGCAAGATACATAAGTTGGACGATATCATTCAACATTGGGCCAAAAAAGCAATCGCTGTCACTGAAATTTAAACTTATTATGCTAAAGTTAGCTATCGAAGCTAATCAAGGCTAGCGCTAGCAAGCTAACAATAATAAAGCGAAGTTGCGTCAAGTAACCGGCTAATAACTTTAATTCGTAACTGAAATATAGAGAACCGAACCAATCCAACACACCGGCGCGTTCTTTCTTGATTTGGATAAGGTTTACAGTGTAAACTCGTATCATAAAGATGCTAATATAGCTTCGTGGGCACCCGATAAAAGGACCAAACCCGCTTATTTGACGACTTCATGAGAACTTTGATAACTTAAATAACGTTATCTTCCAATTCATTGAGCTATTAGAGGAACTGTGCTTTGTGTTTTAACCACCTTTTAGTTCAGTGAACGGACGTTTGCTTGTTTTTTTGAGTCATTGTATAGAGTAATGGTAATTAGCTAGCAACTAGCAACCCGATATAACCCAGTATTTGAGCGAAGTTGAAGTAGTTACATGTCTACCAAATTTTACTTTTCTGTGTACTGTTTGCACATCAAGCAACGGTTTTTTGGAAACACGTTAAAAGGTCCCTAACCCTTCTATATAAGGCATCAAATCAGTTTCCTCTCTTTAGCCTCGACACAACAGGGCCTTTTGCCAATGTTGGTTTTATCAAGACAGCAGAATATAAACTTTGCAACCTTATACTATGTAGTTAAGAGCTGCTTATATTTAGGTGTTTGGCTGATGTTGTCAGTGGGATGGATTCAGCAAGGTCATTTTCAGCTGCTAGCACTTGGACTGAAACAGCATCCCTCAACAGATGGCAAAGTAAGAATGAGCAAGTCCCAGTTGCACTCCCTGTATTCACACATGTAACTTCGCCAAGATGCCCGCAGTAGAAAGCGAAGCAGAATGTATGCTAAGTTAGTGCTTCAGAAACTTGAATCAGTGACCTGTTGGATGTATAACGGACACAATGCTTGGCTTTTTACTAAATGGACATCTAATTTCTTTTGTCTTCCAGGATTTTCCAATTCTGTGTCAGACATGTTTAGGAGAAAATCCTTACATCCGTATGGTGAGTGAGCATGACTTCATCATTGTAGTAAATATAAGGAAAATTTTCTGTAGTGTTGATTCCATTAGGTATGCAGATTTAAAATTTTGTCATGCTTTGCATTACAGACAAAGGAGAAATATGGGAAAGAATGCAAGGTATGTTTTGTACTCATATTTCAAAACATGATTATGCAGCACACAACGTAGTTTGAATTAAAAATCTAACATTATGTTCCATGTAAGAATATCTAAACATACATTTTCATCATTTTCCCATCAGATCTGTGCTCGACCCTTCACTGTGTTCCGATGGTGTCCAGGGACACGAATGCGTTTCAAGAAGACGGAAGTCTGTCAGACCTGCAGTAAAATGAAGAATGTTTGTCAGACATGTCTGCTCGACCTGGAGTATGGTGAGTCTGGGACTGACTCCTTGTAATCTGTTAATGTAAATTGGCCTGCATAAATTTATTATGGTTTGCTGAAGCATATAGATATGTGAGTTGACCCCTCATGTCTCACTTTGTGTTTTCAGGTTTGCCTATCCAGGTCAGAGACACTGGGCTTGCTATCAAAGATGAGGTTCCTAAGTCAGATGTGAACAAAGAGTACTACACACAGAACATGGAGAGAGAGGTATAGTTACTTTCTGATGCTGAAAAATAAAAGGTCTGTCTGTTTTATAAGTGATTTTCATACAGCTACAAGAGCTAAGTCTATACTTGGCCCATGGTATACGCCCATTAAAATGAGTAAAACAAAATATATATGTCTTGATGTGTGAAAGGCTAATTAGCTATCAAGCAAACCCTAACTGTTTTTTTTTTGTTTGTTTGTTTTTTGTTTTTTCAAATTGTCATTTGTCTGTCATTCATCTCATGTCTGTTTGAACCTCTATGTTCTCAGATAGCCAATTCTGATGGCACACGGCCGGTGGGCCAGCTAGGAAAAGCCCCCAGCTCTAGTGATATGTTGCTGAAGCTGGCCCGTACAACGCCATATTACAAGAGGAACCGGCCGCACATCTGCTCCTTCTGGGTGAAGGGAGAGTGTAAGAGAGGAGAAGAGTGTCCCTACAGGTGAGTGACACTTTATAAAACTGGCTACAATTGCTGTGTCTTAGTGGTCAAATTTGATGCTGTGGGATCAACAGTGAACGGTTGTGCTGAGTGTTTCTTAGCTTGATTAATTTTTTTTATAAATGAATTTTACATGTATCTTTTTGAGTACTTAGTACTAAAGGCAAAATAGAAATCGGTGTGTTTTTATGGGTCGGTTTGGCTGTAATTTCCTTATATTTGTCATGGTCATTGTGCTGTCAGTATTTTCTTATTATGGTTCTCCTTTTTCACACAGGCATGAGAAGCCCACAGATCCTGATGATCCTCTAGCTGACCAGAACATAAAGGACCGTTACTATGGTATCAATGACCCAGTAGCTGACAAGCTGTTGAAGCGGGCCTCAACTATGCCACGACTGGACCCACCAGAGGACAAGTCCATCACCACCCTCTACATAGGGGGTTTGGGAGATACTGTCACAGATGGAGATCTCAAGTAAGGATTCCTATTTCATAACAAGCTCTCGTACAAGTTCCTGTTGTCATTGAAAGTGGGTTTTACTATACTATAATAGAATGTCCTTGACTGTCCAATTACTGTTGACAGTTGTTGCAGTTTAAAATCTTTTTATATCCAGTGTTTTGATTCTGTTGGACATTTATCTGTATTATTGCAGGAGTCACTTTTACCAGTTTGGTGAGATTCGCACCATTACCATAGTCCAGAGGCAGCAGTGTGCCTTCATCCAGTTTGCCACGCGGCAGGCAGCAGAAATGGCTGCTGAGAAGTCCTTCAACAAACTGATCATTAATGGACGCAGGCTCACTGTCAAGTGGGGAAGGTAAGAAGTTGATCAACAAGGTAAAACATAAGCATTAGGATACCCATCTCCAACATCCTGACACTATAACCAATAACAATAGCTCGTGTAGCTCATTGTATGGATGCAACTAAAACATATCTCCTGCCATCTGGTAAAATTTCTTAGCTTCCACCATACAGCCTTGCTAAGCAGAGCCATTGGGAGGAGAGGTGAAGATTTATAGTGATAATTTGCTTATTAACACCAGGTAGTGCTCAGAAAGCATGTGTGTTTGAAATTAACAGCCAGGCGTAGTGTTACCATCACAGTCACAACTGTTTGGAAACTGACAGCAGTGCCTTTTTAAAATATTATTGCACACACTATGAGAATTTTAGCATAGCAAAGAACCTGACATTTTCTGTTCTGTACACATTCCTGCTGCTGCTGCACACAATGCAGTGGTATTTAACAAATTAAGTGATTTGATCCGTATATAAACTTGTGTGGTTTGTCTTTTAAGGTCTCAGGCAGCAAGAGGAAAGGAGGGCATCAAAGATGGTGTCAGTGAGATGGGTACCAGACTTGATCCTGTACCTGGACTGCCTGGAGGTGAGTCTCCAAACATGGGGAGAGTGGAAACGTGTGCGAAATGTGTGTGAGTGAGAGAGTGTGCATAATGACATCATGATGAGCCATATGAGATTAGTCTAATCTGAGGTAGAGTTTAATGTATACCTTTTTCTTTTGATTGTTGAATCATTAATTCAACCCCGTTGGTGTAATACACGCTGACAACTATGCATGCAGAAAAAGAAAAATTCTTATTGCTATTAAGAGTGGACGGAAGAAACACCAAGGTTTCTTTTGATTACTCATTTCTCTGTGTTTCTCTTTGTACTATAGCTCTTCCTCCCCCACCAGCTATGGATGAAGAGGCCCCTGCAAACTACTTCAACCTGGACCCCAGCACCTCGCCTGCTGTCATGAACATTGCTCTGCCCCCACCTCCAGGCATTAACCCACCTCCTCCAGGTAAAATTGTAACCTTGATCTCACAGATGCATCTAATCACATACATACATAGTAAAATATGATGTATATGAAATATAAAAGCTATTAAAAATAATCCCATTAACTTTTTGCTAGTATTTACTTTGGTTATCCTAATCTGTTACGTATTTTACGTTTCTATTTTTTGCAAAATTGCTGAGAAGATATTTATTAAATTAGTAAATGATTTAAAAGGCAGTCATAAAAGGTAGATGCATAATGCTGCATTCTTTCTTTTCATCTGCTCATTCAGGTTTTGGCCCTCCAATGTTTCACCCCATGGGTCCCATGGCTCCTCCTATGCCCCCTCCAATGAGCATGAGACCTCCTGGTCAAATCCACTACCCCTCCCAGGACCCTCAGCGCATGGGTGCCCATGCTGCACATGGCTCACGCCATGGTGATTAGCTGCTAGAGTGAAATACTGTACTGTGATTTAGATGTCATTCTTTTCCTTGAGTCAAACCTGGTCAGGTGCTTTCACTTCAGATGCTGTCAGTGGGCCTGAAACCTGCAGACTACTTACGGGAGAAATACATTGAATAGAAAAGACAGTTATGTCTTACAGTATAACATCTGATTTATTATGCCACCTGCAGTGCAGTGAATGAACTGAAGGAGCACCATCTGTGTCTGGAGAGACACAACCTGCATCTTACCAGATGACTTTGGCACTAACCGCAGTCAAAAAGTACCAGAACAGCATCTAAACAGCGGAACTTAACAGAGTAAAAGACACCACACATAAGAGTACTGACCAGTGTGATCAGGGTTGTCTTTAAAGGACTCCTGTGGTAGGAGCCATTGTACATATATAAATGTATACTTTAGGTAAAACATGTCATTGTCACATCGTACAAAGTATCACATGGAGTTGAATTCTGAGGAGCATTTTTAAAACGTATTAATTTTCAGTTACATTGACATTTTTTTTTATTTGACACAATCTTAATATTCCACGACATAAAGACTTGGTTAGTGTAAGACTTTCTTTGTATGTTGTTTTCACTTGTCATTAAAATGACTCATTTTTGTCATTGATCACCTCCAGATTTCATATTACTCATTTATGTAACAATTTACTGTTGTATGTGTGTTGTCTTGGTAGGTGACAAAAAGTTGTAAAGCTGCAGTATGAAAAGAAACTGAAGTGGTGAGAAGAGGAGTCATATATTGAGACACTTTGTTTGGGTGAAGGGGGAATAATTAGGACTGATCATCCTGTTGCAGCATTTAACTGATTCCAGCATCCAGAGTTTGCCTCAGCTGGTCAAACCACGCAGCAGTAGCAAATTTCTATATCATGCAGGAGTGTGCCCCCACCTGCTGCAGTGCCCATTGACTGTCAGGGGGGGGCATCTTTGCAGGAGGAGAGGAGCAAGCATAGGCCAGCGCTTTAGTCTTAAGTTGTCAGCCCTTTTTTCATAGTTCATTTGATTCCGGGCTGTAATCAGCTCCCCATCCCCTGGGTGCTCTGTTGAAGTTGGGTCGTTGGCACATGCGGTCAGGAGCGTTGCTGGGCAAGTTCTGGGATTCCACTGCCTCAAAGCTCATCACTGGTATCACCCTCTTGCTGGCCATTGCGCCCCCAAATGGCATGGCAGATCTGAGAAAAACAAAAAAGTCCTTGCTAAGCAGGTTAAGTGCATTGTTGCACGTTACTGGCAAAACATGAGCTTAGGTATTGTTGCTAACACGCCTTCCGATAAAGGGAAGGGGGGGGGGGCTTTTAGATGATAAATGATACCCAGTCTGGTCATCTCTCTGACTTTAACTGAAGGTCCTGTTAACAGGAGAAAACCACGAGGGAATCAGGATGAAACTGAGTGTGTGGTGAGCTCAACCTATTCCACTCGTGCTCTGACCATTAGTTGAGTTCAGATTTAATTACAGTGTCAAAATTTCATGATAGTCTAATGGTGTAAACAGATCCCTCCATTGGGGGTACAGTTCCAGACTGGCTGGCAGAAACTGTTTGATTGACAGCCTTAATTGACTAAAGTCTGAGTTTGTCTTTCCTATATTCTCCATTCCTCCATCTGCCCGAGCTTAACCTTTGTTCTGCCTCGCTGCTGTGATGCAATTCCTTGTGTGCCAAGAGAAAGGTGATTCCCTTTCGTGCGCAATCTGTCTTAGTGGGGACATTAAAAGCTTGCAGCCCCCCCAAGTGGATCATCTTTCAAGAGCCACAGTTCAAAATAGCCATCACGCAGCCACACTCCAAGGAGGTGCAAGCCAGAGACTGTATTAATTTTCAAACTGTGGAAACATGGAGTGGAGCCGAGGGAAGAGATGATGGTGATGGATAACATGGTTAGGTCATCTGTGGATCTATTTGAAGATGGGTGGGTCTCAACGCCTGTGCTTCCAACTGAACAGGATTTAGAAGTTCATGATTTATTTATTTCTGAGTATTGGCTGGTAAAGCAGGCAGAGAAAGGTAGATTTACCTGTTGAAGCACCTGTAGTTGGAAGGCTGTAATGTTTGTGGGAGCTCGGGCAGTTGGGTATTGAGGATGTTGAGGAGCTCTTCGTTGTTTCCCAGAGCTTCGCTCCATGGGGAGCAGTAGGATTTGGGGATTACTGTTGTGTTGAACTTCTCGTGAGGAATTCCCTTCAAAGGGCCAGAATATCCTAACAGAAACAAAAGTCTAATGTCAGTGGGTGAAAATGACATGCCACTGTGGGTACATTTAAAGCAAAATAAGGTCTCCTGTGTTTATAAAAAAAAAAAAAAAGGATAATCCTTGGGCTTTGAAATTAATTATAAAACCTGTTCAATAACTTCAAAAACAGCAAGCCCTAACACGGCACAGGCAGATCTAATTCACATACAAATATCTTTGATGTCACTCCTGTCAACAATAGGAACTACAGTAATTAGATCTCAGTGTGAATCCCTGCTAATAAACAGAGCTTAGCTCGCTGTCAGTCAGACTATAAGCAGTGCCTTCTGTCTGACCAAATACACAACAGCAGTCAGCAAAGACGCTCATAGATAACTGCTCTTGACAAACTGACAACTCTCCTGGCTATGATCATAATAAAATCAAATTCATGTGCTCAACACATTACCATATGAAAGATGCATATTAACAGATCAAAGTGAGATACAGTGCCCATGCATTACGCAAGCACAGCCTTTGTCCAGGCACTAGCACTGCCCAAGCGTGTTGAGGGTAAACTAGTTCTATGGCTGGTGGCATTCTGCGGCAATCCTTTCATCACTGTGTATCGCCATTTACCTGGAGCGAGGACGTCAGGACTGCCCTTCTTTGCTACTGTCTTCTGCAGGTTCATGACCAGGCTATGCTTACCAGGGATGGAGAAAGCCTGGTTTTCCTTTCCTCCCTGTGGCTCTGGGATGATTTGCGGGGGAGGAATGGCCTCGAGATGGACCTGAAGGAACAAAGTTAGGGTTCTGTGAATTTATGAACTCCACAAATACTGCAACACACTTTATTAAAGGGGCACTCCTTTAGACATGAAGTTCAGTTTGCTTGTCAGAGAGAGAACAACTCAATCTTTTGAGGAAGCTTTCCAAAGTTTGAAAAATAACCCCAGTGAGGTCATCAGGGTTATCATATCTTGGGTTTGTTTTTATTTTTACAGAACAAAGAAACTGGAAGTGTGGAGTTGAAAGATGTGGGAATTTAGGAGGCAGGGGCCAAAAGTAAGGTAAAAGATGCTATTATTATGGAGAATGTAGGATAAAGCTTTTTTTAATATTTCAAACCATATGTCAGAATATCTCATTCTCTGCTGTCTCAAGGTTGTCCAATCCTTCTTAAATTTGTCTCTTGTGCATTTTATGAAAGCACAATGCTAAATTGCTAGTTTCCATCAACATCACTTGTGACAAGGGACATTATTTGTAATGAATATTCCTGTCTGCTTAAAATGTAGAACAGAGACTGCAGAGAGGCCAGTGAAGAGTCAGACTTCATTGGCTATTAATTATAGTTCTTTGATATATCCAGCGCACCAAGAAGCTGTTATTAGGCATTACGTACATGTCAGAAACACAGATTCAGACCGAGTACGCTTAGTTCAGTGGATGTGGGTCATCGTGTGTTATGTGCCATCTGCCGATTCCTTACATTATTGGTGTTGTAAGCACCGTTGGCAGCGTTCTCCAGCGTGTACCTCTCCACTCTCTTCTGTCTCTCCTGAAACATGCGAGAGCCTCGATTAGAGGGAAGATTCAGCTCCTCCATCATCACATCCTTTGGAACGCTGATCTTCTTCCCCAGGTTCAGACCCCCTGGCACAACATGACAGACAAATGGAGGGGATTTAATAAGTGATCACATTTAATGTCCCCTTTGCATTTTTAAAATGGCAGTATGCGAGTAGAGAAGCCTGTTTGCCCCAGGTTTTTGTGCTGTGACATTGCATCAGGTGACTCTAACCCTGCGTAAATACAACATGACATTTAGTTGTTAGTGCAGAGGCAGTGACAGCAGCAACTTCCAGACATTTGGAAAGAGAAGGAAAGTAACACAGACTAATAAGGACCTTCGGCAAATCATAATGTCTCCTCTGATCTTCTTGTTTCTGTCAACTTTAAACAGCTGAGGGGGGCTGATATGAAAAAGCCAAGTCGTGTGCAGCATCACTAAGTTGGTATCCATGCAGCTTTTGCTCAGGGTCTCTTCTCATGTTATATCATGGCACAGAGTCTCTGAAATAGCCTCCAGATGATGTCAAGAGGTGTGTAATGTTTGTTGTGGTCCAGGGTTGCATGGGTAACTGGGCATATAAATAGGATCTCTGGATGAAAGACTACTGTAAGAGAGCGGATGGCCTTCCTTCTCGTACATGATAAGTGTTCGGAGAAGTCTGTGCATATGCCACCCTTGAGGAGCTGCCTTTGATCGGCCTGTGTAAAATTCAGTGGGAGTCACATTTTGCTGAGTTTAGGGGACTTGGTTTCAAAGCCTAGCTGGCGGACAGCACTGGAAAACAAACAGTGCAACTGGGATGGTCCCTGCTGGAATGCTTGGAGAATTTCACCAACACACTGGCACTCCTGGGATTTGGGTGTAGCACACTCCATGTGTCCCCAGGCAGTGGGCTAAGACACTTTGATGTTTGACTGTATTACATCTGACAGCCCCGGCTGTGATCACACGCTTTGGCAGTTGTTGACGCAATACATCAGCTAATTTGTGTATCAGTTTACCTCCAAATATTATGTACGCATATGTCGATTATTTGTGCCAATGTCCTGTCACAGGCTGGAACAAAACCAATGCATCCACAGTGCACTCACCTCCTCTGGCTTCCTTAGCCAGAGCCTTGGCTTGAATCATTCTCTGTTTAGTCATGTCATTTTGGCTGGACTGCATCATCATCATCGTTGTCACTGTGTTCCTGTGATGGACACAAACATTTTCATTATTATTGCAAGGATTTATCTAAACTGTAGTTTCTGTTATGACATAACTGATATGTATTCTATAAGTTCTGATTTAGTGTCAAACAAAATACACTCCTATAGTTTCATGTAAATTGTAAACCACGAGTCTTAGTCTTAAGTTTTATTTTGGGCACCTCCATTTTGTTAAGTGAGTGTGACTACATTACTCCAGCCACGTGTTTTGTCCAAGCAATGCATTTGCTGATATTTTTATTAAATCTCTAAAGTTAAAATGCGTATTTATCTGTGAACTCAGCAACAGCACCACAGCAAAACCACAGGACATCTTTACATTTTAAAGCACAGAAATGTATGATTTTATAAGTTCCCTCTTTACAGTTCTTTAAAGGACCGAATGGCTTCCACACGTAACACTTCAGTCAGATTGTAAGCAGTGCCTTCTGTCACTGCTTATTTTGATCGTGGTAAAGGCCTTTGCTCCCCTCCCTTCAGCCCTTACCTGTGTGTCCTGCCTGTCTGTACGTCGGGTGTTGCTCTGGATGGTTGAGTGGTTGATCTCGTACTGGAGCTGGGATGCTTCCACGCTCCACTCTGACACTCCTCAGCAGAGAAGGAACGGTCTGTATAAACCTCCCCAGGATGCCTCCAGTGCTTACCTCACTCAGTTTATTTTAGCAGAGGGGCAAGAGAGTGAAAACGGACAGAGGGAGTGTTTGGTGGGCGGGTGGGGGTATAAAAGGACGATTAAGGGGAAGGGGCACGTATAAAGATTTACATCCTGACCTCGGGGCTCCTTGATAATAAAAATCTGATCCTCTGTGTGTGTGTGTGTGTGTGTGTGTGCGTTCCAACAGCTGCTGTCCAGACAGTGACAGCTATATGAGAGGCCAAGCATCTAACCTCTCCACTGCAATTATACACACACAAACACAATTTGTATTTCCTCTCTTTCTTTTCTCCCTTCTGTAAAGCCCGTTATAACTTCTGTGCTATATATTAGTTGCAGCCACCATGTGTTTCCAACATGCGGACAGTTTTACGGGAGAAGCTATAAAATTGATGAGGTTGCCGCGATCAGAGGTTGTGATCGGTTTTCCAGTTTGGGGTCAAAAGTTAAACTCTGCAGCAGTTTGCTTCTCTATTATTGATAGTGTGAGACCTTTGACTTCCTTTTTCTTACACACTGCTGTGAGTTACGGGTACAGTACATACTCTGTATTTAGTAGTTTTAAGGATTGTAATAAATGAAATACAATACATACTGGTTTTTGCCAGTGTATTTTCATTTATTACCAAATGCGCAGACACTCCAGTTGTGATTTCTGCATGAGCCCTTTTTTTGTGTTACACCAGAAGTGATGCCCTTTAACTTTATATTTGGTTGCCCTTTTTGAACTCAAGTTAGTCTTTATCGAGCAGCTTTTTTCCCACAAATTGATTCATTGAGCTCAGCAGGAGCCTAGAGGGGAAAAAACATTTTCTTTATCCCTGTTGAGATTGGATATCGATTTCGCACCTGCCCTGCTCCACAATACCACTATCCCCCAGTGGGAAGCCTCCGAGCCTCTGAAAGAAAGTGTGAAGTCATCCTGAGTCACACAAAAATCATCTGCAGACACACAATGGAAGTTGAATAGTTTCTGGCCATTAAGGGTTTATTCAAGTGTGTTTGTTTAGTAGAAAAAAGCAATTTTGCTTTATAAAAAGGATTTGGGTTGGGTCAGTAGCCTTCTATTAACAAAAAAAATTTACCTTTTGTGTTGTGCTGTATCACACAGAGCCTAAGTGATTACAATCAATCTGTCATGTCCATTTTATTCAGACCTACTGCTTATAACAGTTCATTTCAAATTGAGTTATTATGACAAGGGTCTGTTAATAATTCAGTGGTCTTTTTCTAGAAGGGAGCAATGATGAAAACAGGACAACATCTTGTGACTGAGTCATCTGTGTTTGAGAGGTGGCTGCCGCAGTGTGTTTATGTCACATAGAGAGAGGTACACAACCACCAGGCGCTGACAGCTGACACAAGAACAATAGAAGCCCATTCAGACACAAGGGCTTGTGCGATTAGGGCACCTTTAAAACCGTTTGCCCTATTGGCCTTCAGATGAAACCTCATGTGGCTGGCTAGTCTGAGGAAGTTCAAAACTTCACAGGTAGTGTTGAGAGCAGGAGAAGGCAAAAGCAGCAATATTCAAAGCATGGCTTTTTATAGCTTAACGCTGAAAGCTGCATGCATTAAAATTCAGCTTGCAGCACTGAGAGAGTCTTCATTCTGAACTTTTCTTATTTGCTTGCAGGTGCCTCTGGGAAGACTGCTGGAAGTCAATCAGTAGGGGAGCTGTCTTGACAGTGCTCAGTTTGAGCTTCAATCCAGAGCGACATTATGTATGGGCTGCTGTGTGAGAGTCTTCACGACTTCATCAAGGAGTCGTATGGAGATGATGTGTGGAAGCTGGTCAGAGAGAGAGCAGATGTCAGGTTACACTCTTTTGTCACCCACCAGGTACATTGTCTGTGCTCCTGAAATGAATAATATGATGTAATACTGTATGTAAGCAAATAATAATAACTTTGAAGTCACTACAGTACTCTCTGTCTGCTTTTCTGTGATGTTTAATAGTCCTGATATCAGAAAATTAATTTTTCTGAGTGATAATCTCTGCATGTGTTTATCTGCAGGTGTATAGCGAGAGTGTGATTCCCCGTATTGCAAAGGCAGCCAGCGGAGTGACAGGCACGCCATACAATGAACTGATGAACTCCTGGGGTGTCTACTTCCTGGGCTTTGTAGGGAAGTACGGCTATGACAGGATCCTCAAGGTAAGAAAAGGTCTCAAACTCAGGACTGTTTTGTCTTCTGGTGGATATGTGAGAGAATGATTTAATACACAGTAAATACTTCTATTGTGTTAATTAAATGTTTAAACATATCTTATATATCTTATCTTAAATCTGTCAATCCAGTCAAAACAGATTATTGTTAGTGTTGTGGTTTTTACAACAGTAGATTTTCCTCTGTATGATTTCCTTATACAGTTAAAGAGTGAATATGTAACTTGTGTACAAATCAGTAGAAAAATTAGTGCATGCCATAAAGATGTACAACCTTTACAATTTTGCACATCTTCTAAAATAAGGGGTTATCGGTGGATTACATGTACTCATACAGATGCTCATTGTATTATTGGCCATTCAGTCCAGCCCTTGTTAGCAACCAACATGTGTTTTGTTTTAGAACTATAACATCATTAAATTATTTTCAGGCAAATTAGGAATAAGGCACTCCAGTGATTTACAGTAGTATTACACTTAGCAGTAGCAGGATTCATGAAATATATTATATAAAAAGAATGGTTAAAATCACCAGCAGCAAAGGGCAAGATATTCTGATTTGCTGTCACTTACATGGGTCAGGTTCCATATTTGTTGTACCTTTTGTAATGGTATTCTTTAAAGGAAAACTGCCCATTGAAAAACAGCATGTATATTGTACCCCCCCGAGCCTTAAAGTACAATATACATCTGTTTTCATGGGCAGTTTTCCTTTAAGAATACCATTACAAAAGGTACAACAAATACACATGACCTGTTACCCTACGTCTCTGCCCTCAGGTGTTGGGCCGTCATGTACGTGACTTTGTCAATGGTCTTGACAACCTCCATGAATACCTGCGCTTCAGCTACCCCAAGGTGCAGCCCCCAACTTTCTTCTGCCAGGAGGAGTCTGCCACTGGAGTCACCCTCCACTACAGGTCTGAGACGATGTGGAGGAGTGAAGAGGGGGCAGACTGATAAACTATCAGGCATCAGACATAAAAAATACAAGAACAGAGTAAAAATATTGAAAACTGTGCCATTAATCTCTTCAGAGAGATGTTGAATTTTCTTCCTCTGTGACCTGCAGGAGTAAACGTAAAGGCTACCTGCACTACGCCATGGGTCAGCTGAGGCAGATGGGGAAACAGTTCTATGACACTGACATTCACGTGGAGGTGCTGTCCGAGCAGATGGTCGGAGACTACTCCCATGTCACCATGAGGTACACACACACACACACACACACACACACTCACACACACATGCAAAGCTTTTTATACTCACTGGCGGAAAGTAAATAAGTACATTTACTTAAGTACTATACACGAGTACAGTTTTGAGGTACTTCATAATTCTACTCCACAACATTTAAAAGAGAAATATTGTACTTTTTTTACTCCTTTTTGGCTCGTGACCTCTTATGAAAAAACAGTGTCTAGTTGGGGTCCTGGGTCAGGTTTTTGGTGTATATGAGTTATTAACAGTTCCACCACAGAGTCATTTCTGATGTTCTAATCTAACAGTCTGAGACCTAAGAAGGTCAAATTACCCAATATTTTACCAAAAAACAGCAAATATTAATAAAACATACAGACATTTACATATTTTTGTTTTTCTTCATCATTATTCCACTACAATCATCCCACTGCCCCTCAGATATGCGGTATCTTGTGACCATTTGGGTGGGGCCCGACTTGTAGGTTGGGAACTAACTGTGTACACATAGTTAAAAATAGCTACACCTCAGCTACCCACAATGGTTAAATACTACTTATGTATTGATGCATGTGCACGCATGTTTTCTGCAAAACAAACGCTTTTACTGTCGGTNTGTAGGTTGGGAACTAACTGTGTACACATAGTTAAAAATAAATAAAACTTTAATTGCATTCAATGATAATACTTCTGTACTTTTACATTTTTGTGTTGGCACTTTTACTCAGGTAAAGGATCTGAAAATGTCTTCCACCACAGTTCACTCTCAACTTTAAATCTAAGAAAACATTGATATGTGTGTGCATGCAGGCTGAACTTTGACAACTCTGCCTACCGCTACATCATGAAGGAAGATGAGGAAGAGCAGGAGATTTTGCCCATTACCTCAGATTTCTTCTTTGAGGTCTTCCCCTTTAATATCGTCTTCAGACAGGTAATCCTTTTGAGTTACCCTCTTCAACATCCCAAGGGCAGTTAATGAACCAAATGAAGTGTAACATGAATGAACAGCCAATGGTTCTTTGATTCTTTAGGACATGGTGGTGCATAACGTAGGCTCAGGCCTGGCTACAGTCTTCCCTGATCTAGATGGGAAGAAGATCAATGATGCCTTCTTGCTGGCTCGCCCCCTAGTGGAATTCACCTGGAACATGGTAAGACATCACTTAACATGTCACAATCTCTTATCTACAGCATTCTACAATAAACAAAAATGTGTCTTAAAAATATCAGCTTCAAACAGGTTGCTGATGAGAACACTGACTCTAATCTGTGCACAGATCATCTCCCACCCCAACAACCTGTTTGAAATCATGTCAAAGGAGCCTGTGAAGAGAGAGAGGAACCTTCACAACCGAGTCCAGAGTAAGAGTGGGAGCCATGTAAACACTCGCAGGGGTGTGTGTCTGGTGGGCGAGGACTCGCAGGCTTGTAGTCAGATCAATTTCACTGCAGTCTGACACAAAAGACACGCTCAATTTCAGTTTCATTAAATAAAAAAAAAGAGCAGGTGTGCAGTAAAATGGATGATTTTTTTATGCAAGAGCTCAAACATCAACATTTAACTTTGAAAACACAGCTGAATTAAAGTTGTGAGTTTAGGGGGTCTTTCAGTTGCTGAAATTGAATTGTTTGATGTCTTGATTCAACTTAAATTGATTAAATTAAGTGGAACTGATCCCAGCCCTGTTTGTCATGGATAGAGGATATGAATATGAATGTTTGTGGCTCTGATTGTTGGCCCTGTTTTTCCACAGATTCTGACTATGAAAATGCCAATCGCTCTGCTGACGTAGATGTGGAGCTCATGGCTTTCCAGTCCATCATTGGGGATGATTACAAAGGTCATGACCTTTCTGTTATCTAAAGGCACATAGTAAGACCTGGGCATACAGACGCTGAAATAGTGTGGCTGACAGTGACAAAATTAAACCAATTAAAGACACAGACACATTAAAATACAAAACAAATGGATTTTGAAGGAATAGTTTGGCTATTGGGAAATATGATTATTTGCTGTTTTGTTGAGAGTTGTTGACTTGATCGATACCACTCTCATGTTTGTATGTTCAATATGATGCTGCAGCCAGCGGAGGGTTAGCTTAAGTTAGCATCACTGACTGAGAACATAGGGGAAAAGCTAGCCTGGCTCTGTCTGCAGGTAACAACCTGATCCAGCACCTCTAGTTATCATGTTAATCTCTCATTTGTTTAATTTTTTCAAAAACTGAATGAATTTATAATCTTATAGGGGGATTATGTGTCTTCTTGGCTGGGAGCGACAACTTTCTTAAGTCTTGTTTTCATTGTGCTGTTGCTAGGCAACCAACAGAGACTGCAGGAAGTCACTGCTTCCATCCAAGAAATAGTCCAGTCCACTGAACACTATTAACTGTGACCAACCTTTATACAGAACCAGGCTAGCTGTTTCCAGTCTTTTATGCTAAGCTATACTAATTGGCAACTGGCTCCAGCTTCATATTAAACATACAGATACAAGAGTGGTATTGATTTTCTTGTTTGACTGTCAGCAAGAAAGCAAATAAGCATATTTCCCAAAATGTTGAACTATTCCTTGTTGAACTAAACTGCTACATCCACTAGGGTGATATTGTTAACACAGTGCAGTCATTATCAACTGCTGAAATTTAACCTAACACTCCTCTGTAAATGTCTGTGTTTCTGGCATTTGAATGTGTTCTTTTTTTAGATGGTAACAGTGCTAATGCGATGGAGAGCTGGGGCGATGGGAGCCGCTGCCTGAAACTAAAAGGACAAATGAGATACATGCCGGAGTGGGAGTCCATCATCTTCCTGGGAACTCCTGTGTAAGGCACACACACACACACACACACACACACACACACACACACACACACACACACACACACACACACACACACACATGTAGACACAGATCTTTATTAAAATGCTGCAGCTGAAAAGTAAAACATTCGAAAAAAGCAGCAAGAGCTAAACTGAATTACGAAGCTGGAAATAAAAGCCCGGGCAGTGAATCAAATCAGGGGGCCCATTCTAACAGCACTTACCATGCATGAAATGAGCTGCTAATTAGCCTGTAATCAGACAGTGCAGCTCTTGTGAGCGTAATGGGAACCCATTTGCAACTGAGTGTTTTCCACAGAGTACATTACCAAAACATCTCCCTCCTCTTCTAAAACATTTTGTTTTGCAAGTAAATGCCCATATGCTTGTATTGACAAAACATAGCTACATTATTTTTACTATAGGAAATAATATCTCTCAGAATTACAGCCTTTTAATTCCCAGTTTTTATAGATACAGCTATTGTCATTCATTCAATATATGTTATAATTTTTCTTTCTTTTCTCTCTCTCACTCTCTGTATGTGTGTGTGTGTGTGTGTGTGTGTGTGCAGGATGGAGAGTTTGAGTGCTATGTTTAAGACTGGCTTGTACATCAATGACCTGAGTATGCACGACTCCAGCAGAGACCTGGTTTTGGCGGGGACTCAGCAGTCAGAGGAGCTGAAGAGAGCTCTCATACAGGTTCCCTGAGCCAAAGTGCAGATGCATTTTACATGTGTGATCAGCTCACTTGTCAGTCTGTATTATGCAAAGTTGCTCTGAAGCCCTAATTTCAGTCTAGCAGCCTCCAGATCACTTTCTGCCTGCTGTCCTGAGATGAACGAAATAAATGCAAACTTAGTGTTTTTCTACTTTATTCCTTATTGTGAGTGCAGGAGCAAAAGAAGTCGAGCAAGCTGGAGGAGAGCATGAAGATGTTGGACTACGAGATGAAGAAGACTGATGACCTTCTGTACAGGATGATTCCCAAGCCAGTGGCTAAAAGGCTGCGCAAAGGAGAGCCTGCTGTCAACACTTGTGAGGTCAGGACTGACATAGTGCCCACAGTTCACCAATGATTTTACACTTCAAGTGCCTGAAACAACAGAAACGAAAGAGTTAGATGAGAAGACTGATACCACTCTCATATGTACAGTAAATAAAAGTTACAGCGGTCGAGTAGCTTAGCTTAGCACAAGGACTGCAAACAGTTCACCTAGATGTATCCAAAGCTAGAAAAATCCACCTATTAGAAACTCCAAAGTTAACTAAATACAAAAAAGACAGTGCAGTTTAATATGTGAGCTTTAGAGGTGCTGGAAACCAGCTTTATTACATTGGACTGAGCCAGGCTACTTGTTTACAGAGGCTAGCTGTTCCCCTCAATTATTTCGTCTTTATGCTAAGCTAAGCTAACTGGCTGCTGGCTATAGTTTCATATTTGTTGTACAGACATAGAGTGGTATCAGTATTCTTATCTAATTCTCACATTCATGTAGCAAAACACTTGAGACAAAATACTGGAGTCTTGTATTTCTAAGAACAAACTGAGTTCTTCTATTGCTTAGTGTAAATAGTGACTGTGTACCTAACCACACACACACACACACACACACACACACACACACACACACACACACACACACACACACACACACCCCTATAAATCCTCTAAATTTGTACTACTCTCCTTATTGGAACTTTTTGCTATATTGAAATGCAGGATGATTGAGAGTGGCTCCCTGATGCTGCATAACAGAATAGACATTAAAAATGATCCATGAACACCTGCCTCCCCTCTCAACCTGCCTGCCTATCTCTTTTCTCCCAGGTGTTCCCAGATGTGACCATTCTCTTCAGTGATGTCGTGGGGTTTACTCGCATTTGCAGCCACATCACTCCAATGCAGGTGGTCTCCATGCTCAACACCATGTACACCCTGTTTGACACGCTCAGCGAGAAGCACCGCGTCTTCAAGGTTTGTTTGTATGTTTTTCCTCTGTGTGATGGACTTTATACATAAGAGCTCGTGTGTAAGAGCTGCTGTTGTTCTCCTCTCCAGGTTGAGACAATTGGAGATGCCTACATGGTTGTTGCCGGGGCTCCAGAGAAGACCAAGTACCACGCTCATAACATTTGTGACATGGCCCTAGACATGGTGCGCTCCATCGATCACCTGAAAGACCCCTCCAACGGCAACAACATACAGATTCGTGTTGGTGGGTAGAAAGTATGTGAACAATGTGTTTATGTTGGTGTTTGACTGATTGAACTAACCTGTTGCTCTGGTTGCAGGGATCCACTCTGGCATGGTTGTGGCGGGTGTGGTGGGACATAAAATGCCACGTTACGGTCTGCATGGTGACACGGTCCACACTGCATCTGCCATGGAGAGCAATGGCAAGGTAAGGGAAAGTAATGAGTGAAAGAACACATGCGAGGCAGTGATGCACCAGTTTCCCGTGATTTTGTTGTGACCGGTCTTTCTCTGTCTCAATCAGGAGATGCACATTCAGCTCAGCAGTGCCACCTATGAGCACCTGAAAGGAAGTCACTTCATTTTTGAAAGGAGGGGCATCATTACTATCAAGGTCAAGGGTCAAAACCGTCACCGTAGCAACTGTACCCACCAGATTAATTGCATTAACTCGTCCATTGTGACATCATGTTATCATTTGCTGTAGAACATTTGAGGAAAACATAATTAAATTAGATTAAAGTCAGAGAACTTTTATTGATCCCCACCGGAGCAATTAAAGTATATGCAGCAGGGAACACAAACATGGATGTGTTAATGACACATAAAATAAAGTGTGAAGTGCATGTCTCTTCTCAAAAGTAAATATCTCTACATTAACAGCCTTTATGGCTGTAGTCTGTATTAATGGAAGTTTTGCATATCAGCAATCAGACATAAAACACATTTCTGAGTGTAAAAAATATATATAAAATAAAAACTCACAATGTTTTGGCTCTGGGGAGTCAGCCCACTTAGTATTCAGAGTTGGTATTTGCAGCTTGCTTGTTGATTTGCCAGTCTATTTTATCAGTGGGTCTGACTTTGAGGCTGCACATTTAGAGATAATACCAGCAAAGTGACTCCCAAAGGTTTCTGAGGCAGCTGATTGCAGGTGCCAATCTCAAGAAAACACTAGTGACTTGTTCTTCATCAGGGAATTTTGACTATTGAAAATCTGCCACCTGCCATTTTACCCCCCTCTATAACAGTAGTTGTGCCTGTGAGCGTACAGTACTGTATGTCTTTGAATATTTGTGTATATATCTCTTTGACTTTTTTCTTCTCTTCATCCATTTTTAGGGGAATGTTGAAATTGAGACCTACTGGCTGAAAGGAAAGAGGGACAAGGATGGGAATGCTCAGGCAGCATGTCCTCAGTTTGAGACTCAGACCATCAGCAAGGCCATCAGCAAGGCCACCATCTCGGGCCCTGAGGCCACAGGAGATGAGGAGGGACTGGTAAAAATTCAGCTCAGACAAGCTTGAACAGTGTACGCTCTCATTTCCTTTATTGCCACCATCATCATCTCTGATTCCCTGAGTCTTCCTCTGTCTTTGCCCCCAGGTTTTTCCTCTGGTGGCAGGGGAGGATGAGGATGATGTCAAGTCTATTCGCTCTCATCGTATCAAGATGGAAATTTCAGGTCATTCTCTAGAGGAGTCGATTGAGGAGTGCCGGGTGGAGGAGATGTCTGTTCATAAGGTGAGAGGGAATATCTGCTGCTAGGATTTCTGGATGTTTAGACTTTTAATGACTCTTATTTAACTATGATGTCTTTGGTTTTTTTTGATGATTCCCTTTCTTGGGTTATTATTAGCTGTTAGTGTTTTTTTTTACTTGCTGTTTTTTTATGGGTGTAATATTCAGAACTGTTCCTTCCCTAGTCCCACTATAAGGATGCCTTGCAGGACGGCCTCCAGGACTCTCACCTGGAACTGGACTCACCTGAGTCTGACGGCAGGGACTCCATCATGGAGTCCCGTGACAGCTCCTGTGACTCCCGCTGCTCCAAGAGCGCCATGTGCTCCGTGTCGTGAACTGCGACATGGTGATAGCGCCCAAGCAGATGCTAGCTGATGCTATAGCCAGTAATTCATATGTATTACTATTTGTAAAGCGCTTTTTGTACAACCCACTTGAAGCACTGGATGTTAGGCCAAATGCCAGATAGGAGTGTGGTTTTTGCTGTTATTTCGGAGGCCTTTTGGAGGCGTTCTTGTACATGGACTAGACTGTAATGCTCGAAATCTCTAGTGGCATTTGTGTGGAGTTACTTTGCGGAGCAAAAATCATCAGTGTTTATTTAGCTCTAACAATACAGAAAATCAGTTGTAGCCATCAGTGTTAATTTTACACTTTGATCATTTTGAACCGCTGCCTCAGAGCTCTATCAGCCCCATGAGTGAACAAACACTTCTCCAATTAATACCTCACATCAGTCACCTCAGGGCAATTGCCACTAAAAAGTCAACACTGGAAAACATGCTGATTGTGGCCATTGTGCCCATTGTGTAACATGTTTTAGTACCAAAGAGTGTTCCCTGCTTTGTGGTTCATCTGGACACGAGCTCAGTAATTTCCTGCACTGTTTGTTCTGCTGCACCTTGTAGATTTGACATCTTATTTCATCCTCTGAGAAAATAAATCACTCGGAGTCTCTCCTCCGTCCCTCTCTCTCCTCTCTCCTTCATCTCGCGTGTCTGAATTCATTATTCTATATCAGTCTCGTCAAATATACAGCCACGGTACAATGTAAACGCTTGTCAGCTCAGTGAAAATAAAGAGAGATGACTGCTGAGCTTTCTGTGGATCGGTGTGTTGTTTGTCTTGTCTTGTCACTCAGAGGCATTGGCATTCTTACTCACATTGACATTTACATATATTTTAAAATTTTTTATTGAACACATTTCTCTGTGGATATGTATATACGGATATGTTTTTATTGTGTATCTGTGTGCTCAGATCTGACTTGCACAACATGTGTACCTGCATCTTACTCAAACTCCAGTGATGTTAGTAGGAAGCCTGGTAAACAGTCGTTGTATTAAGCTTTAACATGAATGATAAATGTATTTTTGTGATTGTCATGTGTGCCTGCAAAACTCAATATCAGGCACAAATGAATATGTAATTAATTGGGAGTCAAACCAAAATATCAAAGCTCAGACTTTGGTTTAAGCAAGTTGTTATTACAATCTGCTTTTCAGTACTGCAACACACATCCATACATATCACTAAACCAAGAACAGCATCATCCATAAATACACTGATAGACAATCAAAATATCAATTATCCTGGATTGGTGTCCCAGTCAGACAACGTTCCCCACTGACTGATTATCAGATGAACTGCACTTAAAGGTGGCATCCTCACGATCTAGGCTGCATCCATTGGCTCTATGGGAGTCTTTAGGTGATGAGCTGATGGAGCAATGGAAGCAGAAAGCATATAAGAAGGCCAGCAGGAGCAGTAAGCAGACCACACAAAAAATAACCACGATCAGAATGGTGTGCACTTGCATGTGCAAGTCCTCCCATGGGAGCAGCATGGTGGTGGCAAGGACACTCTGGGTCGATGGGATAGTACTGAAACTGGGAATCACTGTGGGCAGCTGTGGCTTCATGGAGGCAAGGTGGGTTACTTCCGGCATGACGGGAGGATGTATGCACTTTGTGTCTTGGAGATACTTTGTTGCAGCCTTAAGGAGAAAGACATCTTTTAGTTTGGTTTACCACATGCAAAGAACACAGTAATAGCCTATTAAGATACTAATTCAAGTGGAGTGCTTGAGCAAGATAACTATGTCCAATGATAAATCAGCCTCTTTACAATGAGCACAACTGGCATAAAACAATGATTTTGTACCATTCTTAACAAAACACAATTCCACACTGTGTATTTAAACAAACAAGCAAATGAAGTCTCGTGTCTGTTGTCTGTCCTTTGTTCTTACCTGGAATGTGTTGTTGCAGTGTCTTTTGATGAGCAGAGCTTGGGAAAATGAAAGAGATGGAGGACCAGAGAGAGAGAGGGCTGGACTAAAGAAGTGAGGTGGCTGTTGGACCACGAATAACAGGGAGGGTTGCCATGGCAACACTTGCTGAAGGGCCACTAGCATGGAAATGACATCATATCACCTCAAGGATGTGTTTTAATGTATGCAAATGGGGATGTTAGAAGATTTTAAACAGGCAGAAACACTGAGTTTGAAATATGTACAGAGCTCAAAACTACAATATGTGCAGCCCAAACACCTGTAGCCCGTGGTCTCTACAAAAAATTGATTTAGGCCTGTTATTTACAGGTATTCTCCTGAAACTTTACAGGGATGAAAGCATCTGCCCAATAAAACGTGAGCTTTGGAACAGCAAATACAAACAGTGAAACTAGATCACTTTGTAAAGAACAGAGCCTCCTCATCCCTGACATTGGTCAGGCTCTCCAATACTGCCACCTGTTGGTATGTGAAGCAGCACTGAACAACACACTGCAAAATGCAAACTCATCTTGTCAGCCCAGCCCAGCTTCTGTGCCGTCTGGTCTCTTTCAAACAGCCCATAATGATCCTTTAGTACAAGTTGTAATTGGTCCCACACCCCTGCTGTGCTCACTCAACAGGAGTTGATGCCTAAAAAATGTTTTAGGACTTGCACCAAATTTTAGTTGCCATGGAGATGACTCAATTATTCTACTGATTTTCAGTCATTTTGTTAACACTTAGAAAGTAAGTCCGAAAGCTGTTTTTTTTTTTTCAAAACCACTCATAAATACCAGACAAAAGAAAAAAATATTAATTAACATAATTTCTGAGGAGGACACAGAACAAAGCCTGACAGCTGATGTGAGTTTAGAGTGCTTTCAGATGGTTAATTACAGCTCCAGACAATAGAAGCAAAAGATCCATTAAATCCAACTGCAGCTGAGTAGAGCCAAAATGGCTGAATGGAGGACTTAGCCTATACCAATTCAGTCTAAAGGACAAATATGTGAAGAAAGATGTGGTGTGGGCCTTCAAGCCTACAGGGTGAGTGGGGGGTGGAGGAGTAGTCTTTAGAGAGAGGAAGTGCAAGAGGAAGTCTTCTGAAATCAAGGATCTGCACAATGTTTTTTGTGACTGAGAACAGAAGGATTTTACTTCAGAGTTGCTCTGACGAAGTAGACTATTTGTATTTCAACATGGAGCGCACACAGTGTTCACAGCTGGACTCGAGAGGTGTAATACAGCCAAGTGCCTCAGTGAAGAGGCATCCAGACAAACTCTAACAGAGGTACACATTGCTGCGAAAGAGACTGCACGCTATGTAATAGTCCCAGAATTAACATATAAAACAAACATTTTGAGAAAAAGTGTCCCCGCTGAAAATTAGTCAGCCTCTCTGCGTGTAATTTCCTGCACTGTTTGCTCTGCTGTGCCTTGAAGATTTGATATCTTGTTCTGCCATGCGAGCGCATAATTGTAGACTCTCTACTCGCTTGCTCTTGCTTTTCAATTAGTCTCTCCCTCCCTCACTGTGCAATGCAAGAGCTTGTCATCATGGCGTGGAAATAAAGCAAGATGATGGCTGAGCAGCGGCGGATCAGCTTGTTATTGTTATCCATGTCACTCATGGAAGGGCTGGTATTTACAGACATTTTCATGCATTTTTCGGTCTTTCAATGACAGTTTTCAAAACTATTATTCGACCATATATATATGTCTGCCCTTATTGCTTGCACGTGTATGTATGCATTCCCTGAGAATGTGATTACAAGAAAGCACAACAGCAGAATTTACTAATTATTTTACTGTCAAAAATCTCAAAACACATACTTTACACTCACACTGAACTGGTGTCTATGTGACTGACAAACTACAACAGTTCTACATGGCTACACACTCAGCTTGGTTTTCTTAGTGTTTAAGAAAGGACACAGATTCACCAGACAAGGATCCTTGGGATAAGAGGAACAAAAACATACATTTTTGGGGTAGAACAATGATTAATAATTCACTTATTATAGCTAAAATGTTACAATTCAATGAGCTACATTTGCAAAATTTTCATAAAAATGACACAATTTGTAAAAACAAAATTATCGTTCAAATCTGTGAGGGGAGCAGGATCTGTCATAGGTGAGGTGTGTTGATATTTAATCAAGTGGAATCTTTTTTTCAATCCCTTATGAGATGGTGGTTGTCAATTTGACTCTGGTCAGTGTAGTGACCGGTTCACTTCTTCTTGTTCACAATGTTGTTGCAAATCCAGTTCATGCCATCCTGGAGAAATTAAAAAAAAAAAAAAAAAAAAACTGTCTAAATTTGATATAAAATCAAGTTCAAACTGTTCAAACAAAACAAGTCAAAGACGTTGCTGATATAAACAAAGTCTCCATTTAAACACTTCAGACTGATCAGTACAATATTGTGCAGCAGGAAGGAAGAGAGCACTTTTGTAAGGTTAATTATGTTCCATCTGAAGGAAAAATCAATAAATCAACTTGGGTCTGACCTGAACTCCCTCTCCAGACACAGCTGAGCAGGCCTGAATCTGCCACTCACGGTCCCGGTATGTATGCAGGTTGAGTCCCTCAGCGATCTCACTGGCCGGTGACGCTGTGGCCAGATCCTGCTTGTTGGCAAAGATGAGCACTGGAACGCCTTTTAGATTCTCCTCGTCGATCAGCTCGGACAGCTCCTGCTCATACACACCAAAAAAGGTAATTGAAAAAAGTTTTTCAAAAAAAAAACAAAAAAAACCCAAAAAAAACAATGACTTTCATATATATCAATATATTTAATTCACTTAAATTTTTGGTATGGTTTTTGTCAGAATGTATTTGCATGCAGAAATGAGAACTGTATGAAGCTCACCAGTCCTGTCTCTTCAAACCGCTTCTTGTCTGCACTGTCAATAACATAAATCTGAAAGAGCAAATACAAAACAGTGAGATCATAATCCTATTAATTACAAGCAAACAAAAAAAAATCATATCTCAAGTATTTCATCTACATGCAGTGACTCTCTTGTTATAAAGCTGCCCCAGTGCAGTCCAGCAAGTCAGTTTTACTTGAGAATAAAACATACAGTTGTCACATCCTTTCAAAAAGCTCCCTTAAAATTACAGTTTTAGTATGGTTATAGTGCTCAACTTTATGTCATGTATGTATTTATGTGGTCTCCTGCCATGAGTAATTAAACTTCATGTATCAGCCCTTTATATTGTAAATAGTGTGACAATGTATTGTTTTATTATGCTTCAGTGACATGGCTTTTTATTGCCTCCATCATGTTTGTATTGTAGTGTATTTTCAGTAACTAGCAACAACATTGAGGAAGATAATGGAGATCCAAATAAAGGATGAACCAATGTCTCAGGGGACAGTTAAGTTTGAAATGACTTGAATGAAGTTTACAGTGGTCACTCACCAACAGGTCTGTGTTTTCCAGGTACTTTTTCCAGAAGGGCCTGATCTTCCTCTGTCCTCCAATGTCCCAAACGTTGAGTTTCATACCATGAGAGGCAACACTCTTTATGTTGAAGCCCTGAAGTGAAACACAAAGTGGGAGTCACTGTACTGCACTTCAGTGGCTTCAGCTGAACACAGTGCCAGCATGCAGCACCTGGAAAGCCTCGCAAGTGGTTATAAAGGAATTCATCAAGCGGCAATGGACTGGACCACAGGTGTGTGTATTTAATTAAGCACTGTTTGGTTACACTGTATTGCAATCTCATTACGTATCAGCGAGAGTGCAACACATGCTCTAGGTGTTTATAAGGAAATGGTCACTTTGTTAATCCGTAGTTGTTTTTCATAACGCAGCTCCTTTCTGTTTCAGTCGGTGAGGTTGTATAACAAGTTTATCCCAAAGGCCAGCTGAGGAGCAAATCTGAGGATAAGACTGGAAGGATCAAGTGCAGTGTATGTGTTTATGTGTCAAGTCTGATTTAGCTTTGTGGTGACTATTCACATGTCGTACTGAACTGCATCCTCTCTGACTGGTGTCTGACGAGCTGTCACAACCTTCCAGGAGCTGGCAGTACATCAGCTCTATGTCTTGTCTGTTTCAGACTAATGCAGTGGTATTAGATAATCATATTAGAGATTAGATCACATCTGAAGGGGGTGATAAAAAAAGGAACTCGCTGGGATCTTCTCAGAAATTGTCTTGAGAGCATGCAAATCAGGAAGGTCATTTAAGGCCACGGTTTATATCCTGATGGAAGGTTATTTAACATTTGGTATAACAGGATGATCTGACACCCTAACATTATTATTTTACTTATTAATGGTTAAAGCATGTGTACTGTAAGACCGATCGTTTCACAGAGTGTCAGAAAAGCAAAGGTCATCTGAATCTCATTACTTTGAGCGAGAGCGTGCGCTGTTCTCACAAGATTAGATGCAATCCCCCTGTCCCTTTCCAATGCTGGGTTATAGTACTATGAAAATACAAAATGTTGAGGGAAGATTTCTGGCAAATGAACCTCATTTATCTAAAAATACTCTTAATGATGAGCATCAGGTTATTATGTTATGAAGTGGCTCAGCTGTTCTTGGTAAGATGAATGAATGGAACCAAAAAACATCATCTTGAAGCGTCTCAGTCAATTTTGTGACATTTCTTGCTTAATGCCATGCTGTATCCTTAAGGTGATGATGTGTGGGTGTGAGCGTGTGAATGTATAACTTCTTCTCACCTGTGTGGGTGTGATGGTGTTCACGTCCTCAGAGGCGAGGCTCTTCAGCAGGGTGGTCTTGCCGGCGTTGTCCAGCCCCAGAAGCACTATCCTGACCTCCTGCTCTGTGGATCCCTTCAGTTTCTCAATGACAGAGAGCAAGCCCTGCATAGAGGTAGAGGAGGTCTGGTAGAGAATAGGGGAAAGAAAGCGCCATGAAGGCCATTCGTGTAGCATCCTTCAGTACTTGTAGAATGTACTTGTCTTCTGTGGAAATCAAGAAGCGTCATGACAGGTCATTTCTCATCGGATGTTTCAATTTTGTAATGTTTGGGTTTAGAATATGAAAATATGGGAGCGGTTCAGTAATATTAAAAATGTAACTACAGTGTTGATCAGAAGGACACCGTGCATTTGGAAAACCACAATATTACAATGACAATACAAAAAGAGCAAGATCTTTCCTTAAGGGTGCAATGTTTCTTATTATATCCAAAGGTAAATAAAGAGACACCTGAAAACTGATGAAAATCCCACTGACCTCCTTCCAGTTTGAGGTCAAAGCTCCCCTTACGCACGGCACGGTCGAGAGCACATGCGTGCCCATCTTGCTCCACCCACCCACCGACCAATATCCAGTCCTAATATCTGGAGCTACTGTATAGCTCCCACCCCCCATTCTGTAAGAAATAATCTGTTGCTTCATTTGGAAAAGCATCAGTGTTGATTAGAGCTTTATTCATATAATTATTCACCTTTTTATTGTGATTAATCTGACGCAAGGTTGCACAACAGCAGACTGCTGACATAAGACGCACTGAAGGTTTAAATATTTGATTCAAGGTGATAGTACCACAGTGTATGTGTGGTTAACTGTAAATCAAAGGTAATTAAAGGTTCCATTTGGATGTATAATCACAGTTTTTAAATTGTATCAACACAGTTTGACAAGTCAATGAATTTAGATTATCCAACCGTCCTGTCTGAGAGCTGCATCTACACAGAAATTCTGTAAAACACTTGATGATTCATACTTGATGGTTCATACTATCAAAGTCCTGACCACCCGTGAGAAATTCTTCTGTGTCAAACAAATACCAAAGGTTCACATTTGGTTTTATAAGTCCTGTGGCTCCAGATCAGGTCACTTACCTTTTGAGCTTCTCCCATGGTGGCGTGTTTCCCGTGGCTTGGCTGGAGGCTGCAGCTACATTCTTCAGTGAAGCTCACACAGGTGTGTTAGCTATCCAGGTCACCCAGGCTAGCTGTCCAGAAGAGGTACCAGCAGCCTTTTTCTTTTCCCTCTTCCTCCTCAGTAAACTTGGGTGGGTTAAGTGCTATGTGTGTATGTGATAGTAATGTCTACCTGGGCGTCAATTGCACAGTCGCCGTAGAGTTAGCAAGCAGGAAGAGGGGGAGGGTGGACAGGACTGGGATTAGGAGGCCAGAATTAGCCCTAGTCATCCATGCAAAGGCCACCCCATCCACCCTCCCCCCTTCCTCTGTCCAACCCTCCATCTCCACTTTGCAGTGGCTTTACCTGGATTATCCCTTAGCCACCTGCTATAGGAGGAAACTGAATAAACAGTCCTTCCTGACACACTCTCAAACACTCAGATATTATGGGCAGAAAAAAAAAAGGTTTAGCCATTTTGCCATATGGCTGGCGGAGGGAAAATGCTGCTAATACGGGAAAACAAAGACACTCAGGGCACCATGAAGACTGACAGTCTGCACAGATCTTAACACATAAACATCAAAGGATTATATCATGTTGTTAAACCAGGGAACTTTGTATTTCTGTGTTCATAAATCATCTCTCAAATCCCACACCCAGTCCAAAGCATTATCATCCCATATATCCATTACATGCCAGCCGCCATAAAGCTGCTCTGTGTAGTGTGCGTTCCTGTGAGTAGAGCATTCAGCGGGATTAGTTTGAGCACGCCTGTCCTGTGTCTGGATTAAAACATTTCTAGGCTCTTTTCCTCAACTGAACAGGCTTTCTGGTCAGTGGGCGTGGTTAACATGCTGTGTTACACAATTGATCCACCCTCGTCTAGAAATGGCCCCTACGTAAACTCGTAACCTCACCTGATCACACACACTGAGGCAAGGATTAAAGAGGTTTTATTTCTATATCATATACTACCACAGCAGTTTGTGAAACAATATCAGTATTGATACATTTTGAGAGTGACAGTTTCTTATTTAGGACTCCCTTGGCGTGAATGGTACTGGGCCGCCAGCCCTCCCATCCAGTGCCCTTTGCGCCATCCTTGCTTTGGTTTTAGCTGCAGGGAGAGACAAAAGGGGGCGTCACACTTGGTAATGTTCCTAAAGAGAATTCATGACCCTAACCCTAACCCAATATTCTAGGATTAGCAGTGTACAAACATTTACTGGACAGTTCAAAAATTTGGGAACTGCAGATAAATGAGACAACACTCTCGCGTCTGTACACTAAATAACTAGCTGGAGCCAGCAGCCTATTAGCTTAGCTTAGCACAAAGATAGATAACAAGGGGAAGCAGCTCCCCCGGCTCTTTCCAAACGTAACAAAATCCGCCCCTAAAGTTCACTTATTATCACATTTTATCTTGTTTTACAGATGTCATGTTCTTGATTATTTCTTGGATGGGCGTAGTGACAGCTAAGATAACTGACTTCTGGCTCCAACAAGTAATGAGAGTGGTATTGAAATTCTTACGTAGCTCAACTTTTGTCAAGAAAGCAAAGTGTGTTTTTCAAAATGTCAGACTGTTACTTACTTAATTATTTCTAATCCTAGAATTTTAAATTTGACTTATATATAGTCTACACAGAGCAAGACTTGCTGTTGTACTAAGATGAACTAACTGACTACATCCTTATATTTAATTCATATATCTCTCCATTAAATTTAGGACTACAGTCATAACAATCTTCTCATCTAGGTCTTTGCAAGAGAGTGAAAAAATATATCTCCCAAGATTATTATTATTCTATCAAATTATTACTTTGAAGTGTTAGAAATATATAATTGTACCAAGGAGAAATATAGACCTATCATCTATATCATCATCATGCATTTAAGATGATTTATTTGAGAATGAAGAAGGCACTCAAACTTTTTTCATTCTCTATTAGGCCACTATTGTTCAACAGCACAGACAGCCTGAACTGAGCTCTTACCGTTGTCTCTTTTCAGCTTGAACTTCATTACCAGACCCATAATCAGGACCAAGACCAAAGCTGCGATGCCACAGATCACCAGGGTGAACACATTGTTGTCTGTATGAGGACACACACAGAGTTACAGAAGCAGAAACACAGACAGCTAGGACACAGGCTGCCATGGGTCAATGAGGTGTTCAAGTATTTCATTATTCCTATGTTAAAAACCATGAAAGGTTCCTGTTTTTTTATTATATTACTTAGAACTTGTAAAATGCACTAAATTCAGGCGTGTGGTTAATGGCTTAAATTTACAATCTACATTTTAAAGATAAAGGTAACTGTGTTAAGTAAGCAGGGAGATATCTTCTTACTTTTTACACTGACTTCGTCTGGAGAAGACTCGTAATTGCCACATGAACTATTCACATAGCAGATGTACTGGCCTTCACTAGAAAGCACGTGATCAAGAACCAGGTTGCTCATGTTTTTGCTTTTCTTGATTTCCTCCCCGTCTTTCGTCCACCCAATTGTCAGATTCAAATTGGGAACGTTATGGACACAAGTTAGAGTGATGTCATCACCCTCTTCGGCTTCGGATCCAGTGCTGTTGATAGAAACCTGAAAGGCTGATAGGCAGAATAAATATTTAAGCAGAGGAAAACAACAGTGACACTGTTAAGTAATCACCCACAAGGCACTTTATGTGTTTCAGTGCACTGTCACAGACAGGGATATTGGTACAGGTTACCTTTTTTGCAGTTTGATGAATTATTTGCATAAAATGTCTCTGCATACATAAAGAGAATAGTCAACATGGAAAGAAATGAACACAGACATCAATTAGAACATGAATGTACCTACTCTTATCAACTTATTTTACTCAACAAAAACTTCAGTAATACACAAACTACGGAGAATGATCAAATTTATGAGAATTTAGTCATGCTTGTTTTGTTTGAGTCAACCTCATTCTGCTACCACACCCCACTGTCAATTACTACATCTACTGTACGGAGTGTAGAATTCACTGGATTTATCTTGAAGCAAACAAATGAGAAGAAAGACGCTACCAACCATTAATGCACTTAGTATCTAGGCAGAGCTGGCAAGAATCTATAGGGAAAACAGAGATGGAGAGTATGCCATTACATACATTTTCCTTTTGCATCTTGCCTCGCAATTACTTAATGGCAGGCAGTGCTCAGGTACATTAGCTGCTACATAACATTTACAGATGCAGTCTATAAATAGAGTAAGAAAAGGTTTTGTTTGATTTTTAAATTTTTTTTTTTACCTGCAGTCTCTTCTGCCGTGTTACATCTCAGACAATGAACAGAGACACAGTTGGAGGCAACGCCAACTAAAATAATAGAATGAAGAGGTAATATACAGATTTAATGTACAGAGCTTAACAGGTATATATATTCATAGAAAAAATATACACAAACACATTATAGGCTCCTTACCAATGATGAGGTGACCAAGCAAAATATAAAGGGATATCTCTCTCATAATCATTCTCTGTTAGAGAAGATTTGGGTTTAGAATAAGCTTAAGAATTGAATGAGACAAATATTTTAAAAGTAAGAGCCAACAGCATTTAAACAAATTAGGAGTAGTGACTGATTATATATCACTATAAAACAAAAAAATAATATCGTCATGTTTTTCTTTTTCATTTTACCTGTGGTGGTGGTGTTGTGTCCTCACACAGAGCTGAATAATGACCTGCTCTGCTGTGCCTCACCTAATGGTCTTTGCATTGGAAAAGGTACGGCCGAACTGATCGTAAACACTGATATGGATGCAAATAAAGTTTTTTCTGGAAGTTCGTGGCGCAAACAGTACTGCTGTTTGTGTGTTTGTTGGTGAGAGAGTTGGCAACGATAACAGTCGGGCTGTTGCTGATGTTTCCCGCGTGTTGTTGAGTGACACTGAGGTTAAAAATGATAGGATTTTTACTCTTGTTACAGATAAAAAGAGAAATAGACAGACACAAGTGAGGCAGAGGGAGAAGCAAAAAGACGGACAGGTGTCCTGAAGTATAGCCTGATATCAGAAAAACAGAGGTTTACTTATGCAAACTATCCACAGCCTTTGCACTTATTATATAGTGTGAAATATTAAGGGTAACTTTGCTCAGAATTGTTTGACTGACTGACTTTGAAGAACTGAAGCTAGGGAATACATTATCATCTTTTACAGAAGTTATGCTTGGCCTTTGTACACAGTATATATTCACACAGTGGCCAGTAGAGAGTGCTGCTGATCAGCCATCCTTTTTCTCAGCTTTTATCGATTTAATTTATAAAGTTCTATTGAGCCAAACCTTCATGTGTTTAGACTTTGGGAATCAAGCAACCGGCACAGACACGAGATGAACATGCAAAGTCCATACAGAAATAAAGCAAACTGTTTTTTCTGGATTCAAATGGGCTGTCAGCCACCTTACCACTCTTTCATCAAACTGACTTGTCATGAAAATCAGGCCAAGGTTGTCCCCTCATTGATTTGTGTTTCCTGGTATCTTAACTTCAACCAAGCCGTAACTTCATTCCAACCAGTTATTCAAGCAGTGCCTAACCCTAACCTGGCCGAAACTCTTACCCCAACAATGGACAGCATGTGACAGCACTATTCATAAGCTCTGAGCTATTCTATCTGCCTGTAAACACACCGTTGTTCTTACGGGATTCATATTTATTGACCCTAGTGATTCACATTGTGGGAAATTAAAACACAAACACTGAACGTTTCACTCAGGAAAGTTCTCTCTCAACTTTACAGAAGTGTCATTTAGGACAGGATGGTGTCAGAGACCTACACGTGTAACAGTATCACACAATGCTAAAATTGCTGCAGAACAAAGTGCTGCTATTTGGATGTTAATTTAGGCAACAGGTTGACACTTCTTCTTCTGACACCACTCTATTTTTGTTTTCATTTTCTGTGTCGAACAGTCTGTCCATACAGGCCCGTTGACTGTTAGTCAGGCTGATTTCTTTGCACTTACATTTTGTCTGTACATTGTGTCATTTTAACATTGAATTGGGAGGGTTCACAGTGTCAAGGGTGAAATAAATTAAATAAGTCCACAAGTATTTGTAGCCTATACTTCTTTGCTTGTCAAGAATGATATTGGTCTGACCTCTTGAAAGTTCAAAAACAATGTTGCCATTATGCCTTTGCTGAATATGCTCAGCCACTTTGCATAATAGCTCTGATATCCAGGCAAAAGCAGACAGGAAAGTTGCTGACACTTGACACCTCAAACTGACAGTGTATTAGCTGTGAAACCAACATTTTCTCCAAGGGGGGGTGAAAAAAAGAAAAGAAAAGCGCACCCTTAATTAAAAAGTCGTGCTTCACCTGGCTCGTTGGGTCGTGCGCAGTCAGGTAAGATCAAAGCTGGTAATTAACTCTGACCTGAAGGCTTTCAAGCTCTTTGCTGGAGTTTTTTTTTTCCGCAGCTCTCTCGGCTTGACCCGCAGCGTGTTTTCCGGGAAGATGGTCACTTTCACAGGACTTTATCACAGGTTCTACCGCCTGGCAAAATTTGCAGCACAAAAGCAAAGCAGGAAATATGACAAACGGTGCACCATAACCGGTGGCATCACGCTGCATAATAAGGTATGACAATCGTTTCACAAGAGCTAATCGGAGAGTGCATGCCTAGTTCACAGTGTTTGGCAATTTACCAGTTTAAGGGGAAGGCTACTTAAAGTTGTCAGCCTTGATTTTTGGAAACATATGTTTTAATTTGGAATCGATCTACAGTCATTTATTCTACAGAATAATGCTCATATACTGATGAACACCATGAAAGTCTGCTCACAAGTTTTGTTTTGAAATGATCCTGAAAAGTGTAGAATGAGATATTGAATTTATGTTTTGAAAAAGAAAGCAAATATTATGTAAAGTTGAAAGCACTCGTACATCAGAAGTTTAGTGATGTTTGGAGGATTTGACTTAATCCTGGTTTTCATTAAACCAAAGGATTATTAAATGAATCCAAAGGAAACATGGTCTTTTTTTTGTACTTTTCTGTCTAAATTTCATAGATGTAGCCTTAGATGTAGCTCTGTAGCTGCAAATTTGCCACCTAGAGTGTAAAATGGCATGAAGCTGTGTCAAGTGACTTTTATAGTGACTGAACATCAAAAGCAGAATGAGTACATCTGTCCTGTCTGTGTTCCCACATCACAGCATTTCTCAAGATGTAGGTTGAGAACAGTTTGATCATAGTAGGCCTATACTTCCTCTTTTGTGGCTTGTTGCTATGGCAAGACTTCCCTTCCAGGCAGGAAGTGACAAGAAAACCCAAGTGATGAATTTTTGTGTGTGTGTCTGTGTGTCTGTGTGTGTATGTGAATGTGTGTCTGTGTGTGTATGAAGAGTGTGCATCATTTTTGGGTGGAGCACTTTACTGTGTCCCCTGACAGTGTGCACATCGTATAAGGCTTCAGCTTGTAGTCTGGTGTCTGGGCCACCATGGCGAAGAACTGCAATGCTCTAGGGATTCCTGTTGGCCACATGGTGAGTTGGCACCAGCCTTCTTAGGTTTTGGTTTGGTTCTGCAGCCGTCCATGGATCCAGTGGTTTGTTAATCAGTTTATGATGTGTAAAGGAGAAAGTTTTATCAGCCCTTACATAGTGGAAGTACAAGATTGGGAATGTGCTAATGTTTAAGAGGAATGAGTTGGAGTTGAGTGTGTTGAACACTTGTAAGTTGTTGCCATGTAATGATTTGTAATGAGCAGGAATCTCTTTGAAGTTTTGGACTACTTTCTCAGTCTGCTTTTTTTTTTTTTTTTCTTTTTTTAACCATGCTGATACTATTGAGCTGACATCCAGGTCGGAGTACTGAGAGTACAGCAGTGCAGTTTTCTTGTGGTGGCTTGTATTATCCGTCTCCACTCCTCAGCTGTGCCAGAACCAATCAGGCTGTGTGTTGGTTGCTATTGAAAACAGACTGGGCTTGCTTGAGTCAGAAGCGGAAATGGAGCCATGCCTGTTTGCCAATCTGTCATGTGTAGGCTGAGCTGGCTTTTGGTCTACTCTGTGCGAGACCATTATGTTTCTTGAATTAGTTTAACCCTGCTAAAGGTGTGAAAGTGTATGTAAAGATGTATTTTGCAGAGGCAGAGAAGGGATGGATGTTGCTCTGGTTTTAAAAGACTCTGCTTTGCATTTTGTGTGATTAGAAATGTTCCTATAATTGGTGCTGCATCAAACTCTTCCCTCACAAAAAATATGTTTAAATATCTTCACTCTCCTTCAAAGGATTCACAGAGAATCCTAATACTTAGATATTATTTTCTGCTGCAGTGAATGAGAACGAAAGGTGCACAAGTAAGATGATGATGAAAGTTGGGGTTTCATTATGGAGAACTGTGTATGAAGTGTGTGTCGGTGTGTGAGTTTTAGCAGTTGAGAAAAAAAAAAAAAAGTATAGTGGTGGAGTCACAGCAGGGCTAACACCTGCAGAAACAGCCAGCCCATGTCAACCTGATCAAAGTTCACAAAGAGCAGTTGTCTTTGAACTGTTGCCTAAAATTCACACATATACAATGTGTCTTTTCAGTGTGTCTTGCAATTTGCTTAAGAAAAAACTTGTGTCGTTGTTGCGTAGTTATTTCTGTTAAGAAGTTAGGGTCTTGGCCTCTCATCCTATATTGAGCTGAAACGACTGTCAAATTGTCTCTCCCATGAAATCTGTCACTTTTAAAAACCAGAGCTAGTTTTAGCCTCTCAGTATTTACTTGGATTTTTTTGTGTCACATGAGCGGATGCTGAGACAAACGTTTTCTCACTCACAATATTTTTCGGTATGACGCAGCAGTTGACACTTCTGATGTGGGTTGTTCCAGAAATTAGGTGAAGATAAAGTGGACTTTCTGTGAAAATTTTGACTTCAGTTGACCTTCAGAGGTGACTCATATTTAAGGTATTTCAGAGAACTGACAGAGCCAGAATGATCGGGCAAATTCAAATCCGCTTTACACAAGCTGCACGGGCATGAATGAGACAGGCAGGATGTCCAGCACTGATCAGTTCACAATGAAGAAGTTGTTAATATGAGGTATGGAGAATGAAAATGAAAGAAAGATTTAAAGAAGAATAGATATGATTAAACAAGTTATTGGTAATTTTTCATTATGAGCACCCGGATTGTGTCAAATGGCACTGGGAATATAATGACCGTTAGTGGTGACGATGTCACTTTCAAGTTTACTTTTATAAACTTTTACACCATTTATTCTCCGACCAGGACAAACCTACACAGACAAACACAGTTTTAGAATTGGAACCCACATGTCTGTGGACTGTGGGAGGAAACCAGAGCACCCAGAGGAAACCCAGAGGGGCAAACAAACTCCAGAAAGGCCTTTGTATTAAAACCAAGGGCCTTTGTTCTGTGAGCCAGTCTTCACCTCTTTAAATACAATTTCAGTGTTACATGACTCTTGAGCAGGACCTTTACTGTGTGTGTGTGTGTGTGTGTGTGTGTGTGTGTGTGTGTGTGTGTGTGTGTGTGTGTGTGTGTGTGTGTGTGTGTCTGAGCATCCAGGATTTCACTCAGTTACTTAAAACAGATTCAGTTAACCTGCTGATCTTATTTTCTAAAATACCCTCAGTGCGGTTTGATCAATATGCAATTGTCAGCACAGGCGTGTGAGCAAAGAGGTTGCAGAATTCAGTTCATAACTGTGAACGTGCTTGAATAGAAACGAAAAGAACCTTTTACAAGATGTGGATGTGGATTCTGTGAGCTCTGAAAGCTGAATGAGAGCTATTGTCATCAGTGTCACAACCACTTCCTCTGAAACAGCCTTGGCTGATTGCACTTTTACATCGAGGAGAAAAAACAAAAAGCAAAAAAAAAAAACCATGCAGTTTGTTTTCACATTTCACTTCCTAAATGTATGTATGCCTATGTGCCCTGAATACACGTGTCTAACGGGATATAATTTCAAATACATTGTACAGCTTTGAGTGTAATATTTTGTTGTACTAATTATTTTTCACACTCTTAGTTCTGTGGTTTAGTTGTGCAGTTTACCATCTTAGGCAATGAGAATGAATTTACATACAGTTACTTTGTTTTTATGATTTTCTGTTTAAGACAAGTGACTGTTGAACTGATAGCTGATTTTATTAAGTACGATAGGAATTTACCCAGAAATACTGTATACAGCTCGTCCATAATGACCTCAGTGAGGTGTATTTCATCTTGTCAGATGATTTGTTTAATTTTAGTCTGTTTACTGCTGTTGTAAAGTTATCTGCTCTCTCTTTCCACAGATCCAGGCAGTGTCAGATGGAGGTAAGCGTGAACAGTCAACGTACACTCTGACAATCCTGTACATGTCACATTTCTACAATGTGAACATGTCTGAGCACGACGGAAGAAAATATCTGATTCAGTCTCATTCTCGGTCATGATTTTCTGTGCTGATAAATGGGTGTGTTTGTGTCTGGATGTGTTTGTAGAGTTGAACATGTCTGCACGGGGCTGTGGAGGCAGCAGCTCCAGCCTTCCAGGGACTCCAGGTGGAGAGGCTGGCCCCGCCAACAGCGTACTGAGCTGGGCCGTTTCATTTGAGAAGCTGTTGGAGGACCCCTCTGGGGTCTGTTACTTTACGGTGAGTCACACTCTACACACATACTAGCGTTATGCTGTAATTTTCAACAAGTTAGAGAATAATTGAAGTGTTGATGTTTTCTAATGATCCTCGTGTGTGTGTGTGTGTGTGTGTATGTGTGTGTGTTTCTCAACAGGCCTTCTTGAAGTCTGAGGTGAGTGCGGAGAACATTTTATTCTGGCAAGCTTGTGAAAAGTTCAGGAGGATTCCAGCCACCTCATTGGACGAGGTATGATGGCACCATTTTACCTCTTTACATGGTGACTTAGCTTAATGTGATTCATTATGCTGTTGTGTGTTTAGAAATACTCTCATTGTAATTTCCCTTAAATGTGTTTTTTTTCACTGTAGACAAGAAGTTGAATGTGGGAGGTCAACTCGGTAGCTATGTTGCTATAATTGTATCTGTGTAGTGATCTGATTCAGTGATGTGTGTGTGTGTGTGTGTTTTTTTAAGTCAGTTAACAAGCTTTATATAGTAAACAAAAACATTTCCTGTTGACTTCAGCGATGTATGATGTTTTTGGTTTTTTTTTTTAGATATTTGCACTCTGCTACACTAATCTTTCATATAAAAGTGGCCAGCTGGGAAACTTTAACAGCTAACATCATGAATAGACTTTTAGCGACTTATTGATTGTATGACTGGCAGTGTGGATGCTTGGAAACGGTCGATTTGATTCTTGGTACAGGAAGTGCCCAACACTCAAGGAGAGAACACGGAGCCAGTGAAAAGATAAACGCACTGAGTGGCTTTGAAGGTTGCCATTGAAAGCTAAACACTCAAAAGAAAACTGGTACAATGTGTCAGTTGGGATTTATTCCTGTTGATGTGTCACTGGCTCAAAAACAATGAATAGGAAACAAGGTTGAGGTAATAAGTAATCATCAGGGTGATTCAGTCTGAGGAAGGTGTTGCTTTTCCAGCTAAAAGCAGTGGCTCGCTCCATCTACAACACCTACCTGTCTGACAGCGCTCCCTACTCAGTCAACATCGATGACACCGCCAAGACAGAGGAGAAGGACCTGGAGCAGCCAACACCTGACATGTTTAACAAGGCTCAAGCACAGGTCTGTTTAGAGTCCTGACTCTCATATTAACTCAGTAACACAGTGTTGGCGCCATGGCTGACTTTGTGTACCGTTGCTCCTGCTTTGCATCAGATATTCAAGCTGATGAAGATGGACAGCTACAGGCGGTTTGTGCGCTCTCCTCTTTACCAGAATTGCACCTTGGCAAGTGTAGAAGGAAAACTTCTGCCTCAGCTCTCTAATGAGCCGGTTCGCATGGGATCCTGGGAGGACGTGGCCAGCAGCAGCCCCTCGCTCAGTGACAGGAAGGTATATAGCCTAGGAGAAAATATACTGACGGACAGGGAGGGGAAAATGTGAAGGATTCTTGTTTTGATTGTGCTGTGTTGGCTTTATTTCATTTCACTGTCTCAAACAGAACAAGAAGTCAGACTCTAACAGTTTGCCAGGTGGCAAGAGTGCCTCAGAGAAACTGCGACAGAAAAGAGGATCCTGGGGAGGTAGTGCCTGTCAGATGGCAGATCTTGTGCTTCCGTGTTAATGTACTTACTGTGACTTTATTTGACACTTCCTCCCTGGCTCTCTTCTTGTTCTTCTCTTTCCATCGATAACAGAAGATACACCTAACACCCAGAGTGTAGTCTCCCGCAAAGAGTCCCATATGTCGGTGAAGTCGACCAGCAGTGTGGAGCTTGGCTCCCTCTACAGGCAGATGGAGGTCAGTGTGTTTGTGGCAAAAAGGGTTTGTACTGTAGCTGCAGCCGGTTGATCAGAAATCAATTATTGTTCAATGACAATGAAGCACACATGAATGACTAAATGTAGTCTATGAATTCAGAGGAGAATCTGACATAAAATGAATAAAATAATTTTGTAGTATATTTTTTACTCTTAAATCCTTTGCTCTCTTCTCCATCTGTGGTGCAGAATGGCAAATCAATTCCCCGGTCTCCAGATCAGGGAGGTGGGAGCAGGATAGAGGTGGAGGGGGGTTACTGCTGTGTCTACCTACCTGACGGCAGTGCCTCTCTGGCCCCTACACGCAATGGCCAACCCATCAAAGACATGCTGGCTAGCCTGTGTGAAAAGAGAGGCTTCCCGCTGAAAGATATCATTATCTACCTTCACGGGAAGGACAAGGTGAGCGCTTGGCTGCTGTGTGTCCTCCCACCAGCCACAGCTTTACATCAAGTAGCTCTTCAAACCGTTCTACTGTATGGCACTGCAAAGTTGTTTTGCAACAGGCAGTATGAGAAAGAAGACTGCCATGTTCCTGTTCCAACATCCTCTCACTGCCTCATCCTACTCCCTCTCTTCACGTCTGAAACCTTGCGAAACCTATTTGAAAGTGTCCCCATTTGAAGCTCACATCTCTGAAAATCGCTTTAATTTCTCTCTGTCTGATACACTGTTGCTCTCTCTACAGCAGCCCTTATCGCTGGACCAGGACTGCTCCGTACTGAGAGATCAGCAGGTCTCTCTAGAGCTCAGGGTGACGTTTGCGTGAGTCAACTGTCACTTCCTTTGGTTCCTTTTTTTTTTTTTTTTTTTCTGTCTTTGACACCCTAGCAGGTTTTCACACCTCCGTCCCCACTACAGAATGTCGCTCTTCACCATATTAGAGGAAAGTCCTTGTGTTACCACCAGTAATAGTCTGGTTTTCTGGGTAGAAATCATTTTAGTCATCATTTGCACTGACTGTGTAATTACACAAGTTGCTATATTAAAATCACACTTGGATTTCCTGTTCAGATACCATTGTGTGGGAAATTTCTCTGTGACTACAGGCTTTGCATGACTAGATTTAAGTGATGCTATTTTGCTGTTCCACTTGGTTCAGGGGAGTTATTGAATTTCATGTGTGTTTCAGGCTGGAGATTGCCTTCACTGGTAAGACTGTGGGGATCATGGTGAAGTCTAGTAAGACGCTGCAGGACGCCCTCTCTGCTGTGATGCAGAAGCACCACCTCAAGCTGCAAGAGGCCCTGGTCACCATGGTGAGTGAGTGTATGCATGTATGAATGAGACGGTAGCCTGAGCTTGAGTAGTTACTCAGATAATGACTTTCTGGCTAGTCAAATAAATTCACTTTAATGATAAGCTGCCTTGTCTGGCATTTTTAAATATATTCATTTTTTAAAATTCTGCCCATCTCTCCTGTCAGTCTCATCTGCCTCTCCTGCCTCCAGCAGCCGTTGCTAGGCAGCAGTTTACGCGTCAGTGTGCATGTTAATATTAATATCAAATCTGTAATTTTAATGTGGTTACTGAAACCTGAAGGTGTTACACTATTTTGTTAGTGGAATAAGAAATGAGATTACACCGTCTTACTAATGTGTTAATGTGTTTTCCCTGTGTTATGCACCAAGATCTGTGGGGTCTTGATAGTTCATCATTGTGTGTCAGCATCTGCCCGACTGGAATGATTCATGTTTTTCATCTGCCTGTTTGTTTAAGGTTGGAAGTGACGAGCCTGTGAACATGAGCGGCACCGTGTTCAGATTGGCCAATAAGACGCTACGACTTGACAAAACCAAAGGTGAATGCACTGACCCAGTGTTTTTACTTTAATGTGAACCAGAAAGAATTCAGTTGATGTCACTTTTACATAATTTAATCATGACTGCACTGCTCCCCCAAAAGCACAATCAGCCACAAGATAAAAAGAAACCTACTTGGCCAACAAGTGAATGAACTGAGTTGAATAAAATCTGATAAAGGCACACACTACGTTTCTATGCACTGTTAGTTGTAGATGATGTGGGTGACATATTAGTGATGCTTTCTGTGATCTCTTCTGAATTCTGCCTGACCCCTGCCTGCGCCTTCTTTTTCATTTAACTGATTCTTTAGTCGGTTTTAGAAAGTGTTTCTGCATTTCTTGGCTCTCGCTCACTTTTAGCTGGCGGGGAAGAGAAAGTCCTCTCGCTGTCCATTTTACTGCCCTGGTTTTTCTGCGTCACTGTCTGCATGTTCCTCTTTTTTCCTATTCTGATTTCTCTGTGTGTGCCTCTCTCTCAGTCTCCATTCTTTTCTATGGGTTGACATGTCAGACTCCATTTGGTTTGTTGAGTGCTGTGTCACTTTGAGTTCACTCACCTCATTTCCCGACTGCTGAGAAACCAGAACCAACTTCACTTTGGATCAGTGCTCCCCGCCTCAGCTCCACTCACTGCATTTAGGAGGAGGGAAATAGATTTGATTAGAGTGGCTCTGTCCCAGGAGGACCAGTTTAATTCTTGTCAGGAATATTTTATCTGGCTGATGTCAGTGTTTAACACAATGGGGAAGTTAAGTTGTGTAGCATCACCAGCGGTCCACTGACTACTTTTTTTGTATTGGAGGTGGAAGTGCTGCTAGAAACTAACATGCAGCTTTGTGTGCTTTGAACAGGAAGAGACCAGGCCAACATTTCCAGAGGCAGTGGTTCTGCTGCAGCCTCACAGGTGAGACAGTGTTAATAAACTGACTTGAGAAAAAGGGTGAGCTGCTGAGATGCTTTCGGTTATTATTATCTAAATAAGAATATAATGAGGGTTATCATTTGAAGGGCAAGGCTACACTCGAACGAGGAATAAAAACCTTCATTATATTCCGTTGTGGGATTTTCTTAGTGCACTAAATATATATACTAAATATAGCGCTCTACAGAGTAAAATGAGGAGCGATTTTGTACATAGCCCACGGCTTCTGGACACCACCAAAATCTTATCAACACGTATGTCTCTGATGAGAAGTTTAATCCTTGTGTGATCTATAGGACTGATAGTTTATAACCTTACTGAGATTTGAAACCTGTCAAACGATATTTAATATATTGATAAAGCCGGAATCTATTTTGCTCCCAGGCTGGAGCAGCGAGTGGAGGTGGCGTGGAGGCCCGAGCATCGCCGAAGTCAGACAGAGGAAAGACTCAGCCCAAGCCCAGTAAGAACCCCGACATGGATGGTAGGAGACCTCAGCAGTATCTAGGAGGGTTGGGCAATATGGCAACTTATACTGTAAGATGATAAAAAAATTGACAACCGTCAATAAGGAATCCGTGACAATACAGAAGTTTTTTGTTTTTCTTTCCATTTGAACTTGAGGGCTTGTTCTTGGCCTTTGAAACAATGTGTGGACATTGTGTTAGAATCTTCTTTAGTGACGTTTCTCATTTGCTGACGAAACAATCTCTCCATTAAGTGCATTTTAATCATATCACACAATTTTTCTCAGCAGATGTAATAACAAAAAAACGCAGTAAATAAAACTGCATTTCCATGTTCAAGATCGAACGCTCCAGAAAAGCTACTAAATGGACCAAGCAGTGAAACTGTTTTACCAGCCGCTGTTTTTAAGGTTAAATCTCAAGTTTCTCAGCTGAATTTCCAGGAAATGTAGAATATTACCACATACATCAATACTTCAGTATTGCAATATAAACTTGCTTCATAAATGATTGTATCCATATCACCCAACCCTAATATCCAGCCAGGACAGAGGTTTGATGAGGAGTAAAGTCTTTTTTTTATGGCACATTTTTTTTATGACTTTCTGTCTCTTTAAATTTTTATTGATCAAGAATGAAATAACACTGTATTATTTATTCATTTGTTTGAAATAAATGCCAAATGAACTTGATATTTTTCTCTGCATCAGGGTTTCTGGACATGCTGACGAGAGCTCAGTGCTGCAGGGTGGACGACCAGCGAGGCCTTCTGACCAAAGAGCAGCTCGAGATCCCTGACTTCCTGCAGGTGTCCGCAGACCAGGGGCAGGACACGGAGCCAGAGGGGCCCAGTACAAGCAGCTCCTCCATTGCAGAATCCAAAGAGAAATTGGAGGACAAGACCTCATTACCTTCAAGCTCAGCTGGGGCAGCGGGGGGAACCCCTGACTCTGCTGGATCAGAATCCAAAGACTTAAGAGAAACAGCAGTTTGAAAGCTGTTCATGTGTGGGACGGACAAAGACATGATCCAAAAACATCTTGCAACATGATTTTGCCAATCATGTCAAAAGACTCATTTTAGTCCAAAATGGAAAAGCACTTTTTATGATTGTTTACATATAAGCTCTGAGACAGCAGGGTGCCACCATCTCTGCTACTGATGATATGGAGAGAAGAGATATCATGGCAAGCATTTATAGTGTCATCTCAAAACACTACACGTCCTTATGGGAAAATGTTTGCTATGAATTGTTTAATGCACCCAAAAATGTATGAAAAGAAGTTTTAGCTCAACAATTCACCCTGAACCTAGCTTTTCCCTGATGTTTGTTTAACGCTTTACAGTTTGAGTTGCAGTTCACACTCCTTTTTTATTTCTCTCAATCTAACATTGCGCTCTTGCTTTTCTTTGAACTCTAAGCCTGAACATGTCTATGCACAGGAACTAGTCATTGTCCAGAACGGGTTTTTGAAGTGTATTACATGATTGTGTCTTCTTTGTTTCTATTAAGATTATTGAATATTTTTTACACAGATTCATTTTTAATATTTTAAATGACTATTTTCATTTTGTGTGCTTACTTGCGGTTTTGAAATGTATGTTTGCAGTACTTAAATGCATTTGCTGTGTTTGCTGTGATGGCACTTTGTGAAGCCCTGGCCAGGTCCTGTTTTCCTGTCACTTTAGACTATATACATGGGTCCACATCAGTCATCAGAAATGTGGTATTACTAGGAGGGAATCAGTCGCTTTGATCATCAAAAATATCCCACAGGGTGTATGAAAAGAATTAAAGTGTTTTATGATGAAGTGTGATCCTTTCTGTCTGCATTTATTGTCGGAGGGGAAAAAACATCAGGTTTCAGCTCTCACCCCTCAGACAGGATTTTTTGGATGAATCACTAAGGTCAGTTTCTGGCTTGACAAATGCTACGTGATGTGGTTCTCTATGTAGCTCAGCCAGGCCCCGCTGCCCCAGTGGACTGGCTGTATGAGTCATGCAGTGTAAAGCAGGTCTGATCTGTATCTTGTCCGTGTAGGTGTCAATTGTGACTAGCTTTGATTACATTATGCATTCATGTGTCTGGTAGAGACACCTCCGTCCTGAAGTGCCATCATGTAATGATGTCATTTTTGTGCAGTGACGATGATCGTTGGAGTTCTGTGATTGGCTGTTTGTGATGAGTTCGTAGCCAATGACTTGCTTCATCTGTTTACAGACTTGTTGCTGGAAGGTGTTTTCCAGTTGAGGAGCTTAGGACTATTATGGGGTGTATTTGGCTATTGTATTGGTTACAAAACAAATTAGATGAGTCATAGATGAATTCATCCACACAGATGGTGTCAGCAGCATACATATTTCAGAGTATGAGACAGCATGAGGTTCGGGAAGCGTCTCATTCGCCCACCTTGCCTGTATCATCACTTTTTTATAGATGTAATTGTCACTGAAGTAATTAACCCAAGACATGAGCAGAGCTGTGCAGTATACAATACCTGTTTGTCACACCCACAGCTTCCGACTGCCGGGCAGGACACATTAGCATACACAGCCATGATAACACCTGGTGGTATATGTGTGTATGTATGTGTGTGTCCATAAATGTATGAGTGATGCGTCGGCGGTGCTATGAATGGGCAGAGAGGGGTGTGCTCTCACAGACACAATCGCAGCAGTGAGATGAGGAGTGCCATCTACCCCGCTGCACGTCTGCCGAACTGAGAGAAGAGGAGAAAGGGAAGACGGGAGGAAAGGAGGTGAGTGTCTGAATTTCCCTCAGCCATTTTATTAATCTCATTTTTTTTGGGAGGGGGGGTGGGTGATCGCTGTGCTTGTTCAGTCAGTAGATGTGTCTGCGTGTCCTTTCTCCCTCTGTCACTCCCATCATTCATTCTCTCCTCCTGTCTGTCACTCAGTGTGTTTCTGTGCTTGATTAAATGTCTTATGCTTTCTCAAGATAAACCTCCTCATCTCATTCATAGAAAAGCCCACATTTTCATTGAGACCGAGTGCCAATGCTTTCTCCTATCTTTGTTTTGTTATTTACCACTTTCAGTTTGCGCTTAGCTTCAAAATTTAGTCTAGTATACATTGGGGAAAACGACAAACATGTTTGGAATATCTTGGAAGTGTTTCTTGTCTGAACTCAATCCTCTTACTGGTTCTCACTGTGTCTTTGAGAGTCCTACAGAGGAATACATAAATGGTGTAAAACAAAACCCATCCATCAGATCAATGCTTGCACATCACATGTGCATTGAAAGATTCTGCTCAGCCAGTGAAGGAGAGAGTCTGTGCTCAGTGTTTTTATCAGCACTGACTCAGTTATCAGGTGAGATACACATGGCTGAGCTGCGATTCTGGCTGGGAGCAGCTGTGTCGGGCGATTCCTGACTAAATTCATCCAGATGGGGGGAGTTAGACTATGTGTGTGTGAGTGTGTGTGTGTGTGACACCTAAATATGGCAGAACAGACAGCCCATCATCATCAATTACAGGACATTATGTCCTTGTCAGTGTGAGCCGTCTTAATGTGCTCTCTATCCGGATGCCGATGCAGTCACTGCCCACATGCTCACCTTGGTGCTCGAACCACCTCTGTGTGTATGTGTGTGTTATTACAGCCTCTATAAATACACACATCATGAGCATGTGAGTTTCTGTGATTAGCATGCTCACCAGCACAGATGTGGTGAGGTGATAGTGTCAGACTAAGGCTTCAATTTCACCTCCTGCACTGGAAGTACAGTGATTAGCTGACCCATAAGAGGAGAAACTATCTCCAAGGTATTCATCACTAAACTCACGGCTGAAGGGATATTTCCTGTCATAGTCATTGCTGCTGGATGAATGAATGAACATTGATGATCTCCAGGTCATTTGACCGATGGGCAGATCTTTTCATGGTTAAGTGCAAGAACACAACAGATCCACAGTAGGTCCGACTTGATTGTTCTTATCTGTTCTTGTGCAGCTCATTCACACACACTTAAGTTAAGCTCAAGAAGTTCCTGTTGTGTTTTGCTCCTCAGCTGTGGAGTTAATTAGTCCTGACCCAACTCTCAAAGCTTGGTCAATCTTGGACCTTGAATCCGGTGGATTCGAATCAAAGGAGCAGATTTACTGCTTATGTAATGCAGATATTCACATCATCATTTCATTTAGGATCATAAAGGCTAAATACTCTGTTATTAAACTTTTCCACCTCAGATTTATCATTTTCTTCTTCTAGCGTCTCAGTCAGAGTGATGATGGGAGGAGGAAAAGGGTTGAAAAGACGGGCAGCCAAAATATTCTATTTGACCATCCTTGAAGAAAGAGTTCTTGAGTAGCTTTTAAGGCGAAAGTCTTTGTGTTGCTCTTGTGTAGTGTGCCCGCGTAATAATGTATGAGCAATTTGTGCACTTGTGCGTGTTCACGTTTCATTGTGCTTACCACAAAGAGGTGTAGTGTTTTTGGACGTGTCACTTTGGCTGCTTTTGGCCTGCTCATGTGGATTAATCGATGGAGAAGTGTTTCTCAAAGCAGCTACAGTGCCTTTCCACCCGCTTTGGTTTACCCTACACGGTCCTCACCATCCCTTTGCCTTGTCTACGAAGGTGGGGTTCCTCATCTTCCCAAACACGGGCAGACAGACAGTGACAGAGAAAAGCAGGGGGAGAGACAGGTTGAGGCAAGCAGGCAAATGGTTCTCATGTAGGTCATTTCCCTTAGTGATCTGGCCAGAGAGAGCACTCAGGACTCAATGAATGCATCAAGGCCTAGATTATCCTCCTCTGTCCCTCAAAGGGCTGTAATGCACATTTTAGAGTAAGTGCATGGAGTACAACAGCCTTGTATACCCCTGGGTGTGCCAACTGAACCATCATGTATGTGGTAATAGGCCCTGTATGAAAGAAGTCCTCTAGTCCCTACGGCACAGGCCATTGTGTTAGCAAATGCTGGCTGGCAGGTAGGGTCTTGTTGAATATCACACATATTCCAGTCCAACTGGGACTTTCTAATGGACTTCCCTGCAGCACCAAATGTGGTGCTTCCATGGCGGCTGACGTCAACCGTCACAGTAGGTGAGTGAGTTCCTGTCAGTCAGCTCCCATTCATTCTTTATGAGCCCTAAGCTGAATGCTTCCCGTAGAGCAGCAGGCTAATCTGGAGATCAGGGTGGTAGACAATTCACTGTCATCTCAGTCAGATCTGCAAGTGACTTTCCTTGTCAGAATTGTAAACATATACACCTTGGGAAGAAATCATTTCTTCATCAGTAAAAAAAAACCCCACAGAATTACTCAATGATTACTTTCTTCAAAAGTACATTTTCTCATTGGGATCCATATTCCACAACACACACATTTCCATCTAAGTTAGAACAGTTCTGGTTATTTCAGCTGAAAGATGTCTATATTTCTGTTTTTCTTTGTGCTCCTCTTACTCTTCTGAAGTGGGCGGGGCGCAGTAAGACAAAGGTTTACATTTAAAAGGACCAGTGTGTAGAATTTAGGGGATCTATTGGCAGAAAGGGAATATAATATCCATAATCATGTTTTCATTAGTGTAAAATCAATAAGTATCATATTTTAGTTAGCTTAGAGTGAGCCATTCATATCTACATAAAGCAGTTTCTCTTCCATGTTGCACCGTCATATTTATACAGTAGCCCAGAACAGAGACATGATAGTTTGTGGGTCATTTTGACCTGTAAGGTTTTATTTTATTTTTTATTTTTTGTAATTGTCCTATATTTTTACGAAGATAAACAAATTAAGTAACTTTTACTTAAACATTTAATGAACAAGTGTCTTTTTCCATATAAGCCATTATTCATGGTTCTGTGATGTTTACATGAGGAGTTATTAAGCATTAAATAGAGGAATGTAAAATCAGGTGGAAATGGGCCAAAAACAGCTATGGCAGAAAAAAGGATAAATCTGATCAAATGACACCCACACAGACACAGATTAACAGAGTGTTTTTGAGTGCTTTAATTGTGGCTTATTTATTCATGATTATTGAGTGTTAAAGAGAAATACTTACATATTTAATATATTATATATACAATACTATGAAGCCAAGCTCTCATGAGGTAACTTCTAGCTGCGGCACAAGGTACACTCACAGTGCTTCAGTTTCTTAAGCTTTCAACTACGTCCTGCGGCCTCTCTCAGCAGAACAGTAGAGCTCGGTTATCACGTGGTTGAGGAAGGCCATGAGATGTAGCCGAAAGCTTTGAAAACATTAAGCAAGTGCACTTTGTGATGAGATGTTTTGACAAAACTGCTGTTCAAAATTAATGCTGCAGCTCAACTTTACTTTTATTCAGAATAACCTAACACATATTCTGTTTTATGATGAGCAACATGTTTGAACCACATCTTCCAAATTCCCTGATGTCTTTCTGTGATTAGAATCCCATCTGTGTCTCCTCCATTTAAAGGCCTCACAGAATAGGACACCAATAAACCACCTGTTCATGCTGAGATGCCAGTGTTTTGATCTGATGGAAGTGGTCAGACGTCAGACAGAGGCAGATATCCACAGGCAGCGCTGAGATCTTTGGACTATAAAAATCAGTCTGATGCAAACTGACCCAGACCCAGAGGTGTTTTGTCTCCGGCCACCAGGGCCCCAGACACCAGCTGTGGATGTGGCTGTGACTGTTGGCTGGTGTTCATTGTGGTCTTTCAGCTGTGCAGGAAGCGTTTCTGTCCTCCTTTCTTTCCGGCTCTATCCTCTTTTGTCTCAATTTGAAAGATTCTTGTTTTTTATTCTTTCATAAAATATTTTTTAGTTTAACAGCATTTTTATTCCTCACATTTACGTCTTGTTTTAATTTTTTTTCTTGGGTCTAAAACATAATAGCTGGCAGACTGTGGAGCATCTCTACCAGTAGGACTCACTGTCTTTTATTTTATAACATTCAGCCACTGAACAGGCAAAGCCATCTTCTGGCAGTGTCTATTTCCATGGTAATAACATAGAACTTTGAGTCAAGTTAACCTGCGCTCAGGTGAATCAGTTTTTCAAACCAAAATGAGAAACAATAATGGGAGCAGCAGTTTGTACATCCTAGTGAGACAGTTATAGAACCAAACACCAGGGTAAACCCAGTGAAAAAAATCACACAACAAAACATTCAGATCGAGGAAGTGAGTCTGAGTCTGAGTCACAGTCGCCATCTAGTGAAAAAAGACCGTAACTGCAGACTCCTCAGCTTGCCTGTGGTGTCTCATTGAGTGGTATTCACCAGGCCTGTCAGGATGGGAATCAGTAAAGCCTTGCATTTATATTTAACTGGAAATACAAAGTAAACCTGGTCAGTTGCTTTGTAGCAGTGCTACCACTCAGCGAAGCTACAGACTTAAAAAGGTCTTGCATTTAAGCACTGTTGTTGCATGAAACCAAATGGCTAAAAAAGTTTCTCACTTTTCTCTCTCCTGTCTTTCCAGCCACACAATCAGCGTTTTCCAGAGGATATCATCCATCTTAATCCTCCATCAGCACTGAACGTCTCCTGAGAACAAACAGCCAGCCATGGAGCAGAAGACAAATGAGGTGTGTAAAAGCCTGATATGCAAAACATTTGAATTATTCTGGCCGTGTCTAACACGAGGCTCCGTCTCTCCAGAGTCCCACCACCACCTCTCCCCAGAAGCACATGAAGAACAGGTCCAAGTCCACAGAGGAGATGCAACAGTCGAAGAAGGTGAGCAGCAGCCTGACATTCATACCTCCCAGTATTTCTTCTCCCTCTCACTCTGTCAGTAATCCAATCTATCATGACGGCTCTGTTTTATCTCACAGGCCTTTTCCTCACAAAAATCACTCCCAGGCAGACCAGAACTGGACAGAGTGAAGGTGAAGAGTGCATCTGGAATAGTATTTAAGTGCTGTAATATTGCTATACTTAACGTACTCATACTTGCACTTACACTTGTATCTATACTCAATTTTTCTGTCTCTCTTTGTTTGCAGGAGTGTCCCGACGGCTCTGACATGCCCTCGCCCTCCACTGAAGAACTAAAGTGACTGAAAAATTAAAGGATCAATAGGACAATAGAGCTGCCATCAAGCGACAACATCATCATACATACATAAAACATGTTACACACATAAAAATGTACATATGTACACAGGGAAACATGCAAAAATATTTAGGATAATAGTGAACTAGATTAGAACATATGCAAGCAATGATGTGATCGGTTGAAGGAAACTGTATAAAAATTGGTAAATTGAACACACACACAAACTCATGCAGTCTGAGACAATTGCATGTAAACACAAGGACACCCATGATGATGCTGTTTCATTGTACTGTGAGTGTCATATACATACCAAACTGAATGTGTATTGACAATTAATGTGTATTGACAATAAAGTGATGCTGTTGAATGAATCCATTGCTCATCTCTTCTCACTCACATCTGCAAAATTCATCTCCGTCGACTAATTTCTCTCTTTGATATATTGATGCAAAGTCTGTAAATCTGTAAAACTGATGATTCATGAATAATTATTGATAGTTATATAATATTCAAGACACTACATGAGGGCAGAAAATGCAGACTCTTCATTTAATAGAGACTCTGGCTTTGACCAAAAAATCTCTATTCGGGGTACAAGATTATGGAGTCTAAGTAGCCATACACTGGGCCTTGTGGTGGCAGGGTGGTGGAGAGTGGGAGACAAATCAGATTAGATCATTTAAATGCCCTTTAACTGAAATGATGGTCCACAAAGTCCAGTGAATTCATTGAATAATACATTAATTGTTATTGTATCATTTCATTGGCAGACCCTGATGAAAACATCATGACTTTATTGTCCACCAGAGTGGGAAATTGTCTTTAGGTCACCAAAACATAAAAGTAGCATAAAAAACATAGAACATACCAAAGAAATATGATAACAAGGTGAGCATAACATGAGATGCTGTGGAGCAAAATGAGAGACTCTGTTCTCTGTTCCTCCCAGAGGCTGCAGTCTCTGACTGAGGAAATAAAGGATGAGAAATGTGTGTCAGGATTCTTATGGATTAACTTTTGTCCTGACAGTTTACAGCTCACTGAGCTTTACCTGGGGTTTCACAACAGTTTTGCTGATCATGCCAACTGCTGTACACTGGTAAGCTGCAGTTCAGGAGCTCAGCAGTGTTGGAACATTCAATCATAGTTTTCTAGACTTGTATTTCTAAGACTGACAGACTGTTGAGTCTCCTGGAGGATGAAGCAGTTGTTTGTATTTCTCATGCTGTTGATACTGTTGAGACGCTCGCAAGGTGGTCCAGAATAGCAAAACTTTCATGTATACTTGGTCCTTTTAGTGAAAATCTGCTTGGCACAAGAATGATTTCTTAAGTCTTATCAGTATTTATGTATATTTATATTTTCCACCAAACACAAAGAACTTGAGTTTGGGCAAAAAGATGGAGCTTCTTTTTAGGCTGTGTTTTCTGAAGAAGTCTTATTAAGGTCGTGTTGTTTGCATGTTAAATACTCAAAGCCCCCCAAAACGTGACTAATTGTTTTCCTGCTTGTACTAAAAATGTCATAATGTCTAGGTAACAGCAGTACGTCACCTTGCCACAACAGTGATGATAACAAAAACAATAAATAGAAAAGACAAAATAGAAATCAAGAAATAGAAATCAGACACCTACACCACATGGATGTACATGCATCAACTGCCATATGTCCAGAGATAATTAACTGACATGTTTCTGTGATCCCCTTCTCTTGAATTACAGACCGAGAGCTTAATGAAGGCATCATCTGGCATTCCTCAGTGTAAGATTAACGCAGGATAACACAGCGTGCCGAGGGGCAGAACAGGACTATAACGCTGTGCACCTACAGCACATTTACCAGCAGGTGTTTTGAGTGGCAGGATGGTATGTCGACCTGGTGGCTTCTGTTTGGCTTATCCCCGGGCTGTGTGGTGGCTACAACCTCCCTATGACTTGCACATCTGGAGAGGAGATTAGCAGCAGCATGGAGGGTTTTTTTTTTTTTTTACCAAAGAGCTCTGGAACTATGCCAGAGATTTAGGCGTAACCATGTGTGTGTGTGTGTGTGTGTGTGTGTGTATTTAAGTGACTGCATGTGTGTGTCCATATGTCTGTGAACATCTCTGCCCCCCCCCCCCACTGCTTAATGCTGCTCCAAATCTCAAGGATTTCTCTCTCCGGCACCACTGACAGCAGCAGCCTCGGCTCCGGTCCAGCTGCCTGCACAACAACAGAGCTGTTATCTCTCTCTCTCTCTGGCTCCCAGCTCTCATAATAGTTTGGAAAGTAACAACTCAGTTTAGGGGGTTATTAAGTTCTGCTCCTCTGAGTTCATGGGTCTAAATGTGAGGTCAGCAGGTTTGGCAGATTTGCTTGAGAGCACTGCTGATATGACAGAACTGTAGCTGGTCTAATTATTAACAATTACTCAGACCATCACGGCGCTCTCCCATGGTGAGGAGGACATTGCCTCTGGGTAGTGGGGTGTGCGAGTAAATGTGCGTGTACATGTGTGTCAAGAGGATCTCAGAAAATCTCCCTGATAGTTCATTTCCAATCACAACATGCTTGATCTTGAGTACTGGCAAAGAACCTAAGTACCTGAACATCCTGCACAAGTCAAGCAGATTACACTGTACGTGTTTGAAATACTCCCACTGACTTATCTCGTGGAAGAAATGATAATTTAATACCCTGGCTTCAATCTTTGCCAGGCTACAGTACGTGATGAAAAGAGTCGTGTGAGAATATGAGTGGACTTGAGAGGCAATGTCTTTGGAACGTCCTTCCAACATTCACCACTAGATGCCAGCTTTCTCCTGCTCTTGCGTGTGAAACTGTGAGCCTCAAACAACAAGGGTCATTAATCACATCAAAACAGTCCACTTCATCTTGGGAGCTTTATCTGGCCCCATATCAGGTGAAAAATAGCTGGTTGCGCAAACATCATTCTTCACCTAATACACAACGTGCTCCCTCAATTTATGCATCATTAAGTTGAGTCTTTGTGTTATTGATTAACAATGAGGTCTGTGATGTTGGAGCAAGTTAATCGACACGGGATGAGGTGTTCCTCCTGACACCTCCAGACCTGGCAGCTTATTTAAAGATGATTTACTCTTCAGTTTGATGCTTTCCTTTCCAGGGGGTCATACACAACACCTAAGACTGTTTCAGACAAGGTAAGATAAACCTACACTGCATATGTCAATATCAGATATTCATGATCAATAACATCTTTGTGTTAATATCATCTATTCAAAGCCATGACCATCAGTATTGAAGCTTTACTGTAAATCAAATTCTCTCTTCTGGCACCCACATCTCGTACACCCTACAGAAACTGTTGGTAAATCAGCTGCCACTCACTGACAACAGCGGCTAGATGTTTTATTAATCTTTTCATTTCACCACTTCAAGTAAAACTCAATGTCCATCATTTTGGTTATGCATCAAACGGAATAGACATATAAATGAGTCATGATGACAGACTAAAGGCAACTTACAAATGGACCAGAACCAGACAGAAAGAGAGAGAGAGTGGCAGACGGCAAACAGACGAGTATAGGGCAGCTGGATTAGAGGATAACATTCAGTACACACACACACACACACACACACACACACACACACACACACACACAAAGTATGCACAAGTACATTCAGAGTTTATTCAGCTGCAATCTATGGAATTTGGCAGATATGTTCCCACATATAGACGGGTACATATGCTAACAGGACTTCTGTGCGCCTCGGAACCTGCAGGGAGGATGCCACACAGAATGAGAATGATTCAGTAACTGTAATCACTGTAATTTCGCCTGCTGTAATTACTCAACCCACTTCCATCCTCTTTGCTTTTAAGAGTCACATTTGTACTCACTCCTCCACTGGAGGCCCCAAAATATGGCAAAGTGGCTGACATGAAAAAGAGGGAAAAACGGCCTTTTTAAAGCAACAATGTGAAAACCTTTGAAGGGAGCTGCTGCTCTGTAAACAGCGGAAAGTCCCTTTAAGAGGCGACTTGCAGGAAACAGAGGATGAGGCAAGTTACATGGATACTGATGTTTACCCTTATTGTTTGTGACGAGACATTCATTTGTTTAGAGGTGAGATGATGCGTCGTGGTGTATGTTGTTTAACTGTGCGAGCTGACCTCAAATCAAGGACAGCTGCCAATTACAAACAGCGTGGGCCGCTTTTGTTCTCTTTTAATTGCTTGTCTGCTGATCTCAGTGGCATGGTGAGAGATAGGCTCATACACACAAGTTGGTATCCATTGGTTTCTTTTTACTGTGGCAGGTGGTTGATAAACACATTCATACTCACATTTGCTCGCTCTACAATAGTGTCATCCTGTGATTTTAATTGACTCCATGTCTCCACACAGTGTTCAGAGCACCATGTCCTCTCGATCCATAACCATAGTTTCCTCTGGAAGGAGCACAGGACTCGACCACAATGGTAATTTATAAATTTCAATTCCCACCATATGTCTTTGAAATGCTTCGGAGCTGATCTTCCACACCTGAGCGTGTACTCTTCTTCTTTGTTATCAGGGATGAGGATGCATGGCAAACTCCCATTGGAGGAGGACAGGGAGTCCGGCATCGGCTCCACCCTTGACCTCAGCAGCAGCTACAACCAACATACCAGTCAACATGCCAACAAACCTTCAATCAGGGAAGCAAACAGCCTCCCCACAGAGAAAGGTACAAGAGTGGCATAAAGAGGGGGATCACACACTCATCTACTGGGATGCCAGCGGGTCTGATCTCTTTTATAAGGCAAAGAACAAGGGCAGAATCCTAAGCCACATGCTCATTAGATAAGGACATGCTCAAAAGACACAGAGCCAGTGGGACCGTGCCGTCTGGGCAATAAAGGCAAAGTCCTGCTGCCACTCAGCAGTATTTGGCTGCATATGGGTAATGTAGTATGTCAGATGGTTTTGCTCTCTACATGTGAGATTGCTTACTGAGGCTATCTCCCTCATCCAGAAAACACAACTCACAAGAATGAGGGGGGGAAAGGGGGAGTGTGATGTGGCCAGAAAAAAACGACAATTTTGTGTTATCTGTGATACGTTTATTGAGAATGGGTTGACTTTGCTGTCCAGATTTAGGACACATAGCGAGGCTAACTATCCCCCACGGTTGTTCTTGTTTTGAACAGATTGCTCTCCTCAGACCACGACTGTGACTCCAAACAAGATCAGGCAGCTTCTTATCAATCTATCCAAGATCCCTCTCCTCTTCATCCTGCTCTTCTTTTTTGTTTGCTCCTTGGACACTCTGAGCTCTGCCTTCCAGTTAGCAGGAGGTAAGTACTCTAACCCTCACTGCCCCCCTCAGTGGGTTGATAGTGACTCAG